GTGGCATACTCATTACCACCAAGGTCTATATATGCAGGAGTTCCAAAAAGTTCATGGAGAAACTGTGGATGGGTGTCACGTTTTTTAATCAAAGTTAACTTTTGTATTTTTTTGTTCCATGAACTTTTGAAATACTATGTGATAGAGCTAGAGCCATATATACCAATTTTTAAAAGGAGGAAAAAACAAAAGGGCTTTAAATATCAAATTTGGGAAATAGCACTGTTGTAGTATTTCATTTTCTACCCTGGGAATGAAACATGAGCCTTTGGTTAACATCTTCTTTAACAGAATTGTCTTTATACTTAACAAGTTTATTTTTTAGCATTTTGATATTTGTTAACGTTGTTTTTGTATTGGTGAATTACACATTTTACCCACCACATTATGATCTCTAACTGAATAAGATGTAGTTTATTTTCCTCATTACATATAGATTTATTGTGCTCAATGTGACGGCTCAATTGGCGAAATCCTCTCCTTGCACGCACCAGGAAGGATTCCATATGTGCTCCGGTTCATGTTCAGGTCACTTCACTTCCCATCCAGCTCCCAGCTTGTGGCCTGGGAAAGCAGTCGAGGATGGCCCAAAGCCTTGGGACCCATCATCCATGGGGGAGACCCAGAAGAGATTCCTGGCTCCTGACTTTAGATCGACTAAGTTCTGGTGGTGTGGCCATTTGAGGAGCGAACCAGTAGATGGAAGGTATCTATGTGTCCCTTTCTCTCTGTAAATCTGCCTTTCCAACAAAAATCAATAAATCTCCAAAAAACTCCATTTATTTCATGCTCTTATTAGCTCGGAGAGCCTTCTATTAACTTGTATTTTCCTGGTATATGTTAGTCACATGTGTAAGTAGTGGTACTTTAGTTTCTTTTTTTTTTTTTAAAGCTTTATTTTTATTGGAAAGTCAGATATACAGAGAGGAGGAGAGACGAGGAAGATTTTCTGTCCAATGGTTCACTTCCTAAGTGGCTGAAATGGCGGGAGCTACGCCAATCTGAAGCCAAGAGCCAGGAGCCTCTTCTCGTCTCCCACATGGGTGCAGGGTCCCAAGGTTTTGGGCCATCCTTGATTGCTTTTCCAGGCCACAAGCAGGGAGCTGGATGGGAAGCAGGGCTGCCAGGACTAGAACTAGCGCCCAGGATGTGCAATGTGAGGACTTAAGCCCCTAGGCTACTGTGCTGGGTCCAGTACTTTAGTCTCTAACATTTTAGTTTTCATTTTATGAATAAATCTACATCTTCTACCATTGTCTATGCCTTTCTAAAAATATTTTTTAAGGATTTGTTTATTTTTATTGGAAAGTCAGATTTACAGAGAGAAGTAGAGACAGATTTTCCAGCTGCTGGTTCACTCCCTAAATGGCTGCAATGGCAGGAGCTATGCCAATCCAAAGCCAGGAGCCAGGAGCGTCTTCCTCGTCTCTCATGTAAGTGCACAGTCCCAAAGCTTTGGGCCATGCTCGACTGCTTTCCCAGGACACAAACAAGAAGCTGGAAGGAAAATGGAGCAGCCAGGATGTGAACTTGTGCCCATTTGGGGTCCTTGGTCATGCAATGCAAGGATTTTAGCCAGTAGGCTACCTTACCGGGCCCCATGATACATTTAAATAGCAGAATGTTGGACTTTTGACAGTTATTGAAGCACTGTACTACTATGATAATAGGGGAGAAAATAGGGGAAGTGGGATGGAGTTGGGGAAAGAATCAGGGAACAAAATCGTATTATATATAATAAAAACTAAAATAAAAATTAAAAATAAATTTATTTTAGAAAGATAAAAGAAGTGTGTGCTTTGCGGCCAGCATTGTGGCATAGCATTTTCATTCTCTATTATCCTTTAGTTGTGGATTCACCACTCACTGCTAGATTCTGTGCGGTGTCAGGAGTACCATTTTCATCAGCATCCCATAAGGGGACCAGTTTGAGCCCTGACTGCTGCATTTCTGATCTAATACTAGATCATGGCCTGGGGGAGCAGCAGAGGATTGTCCAAGTCCTTGTTCCCCAAGTACCCATGTGGGAGACCAGGAAGAAGCTCCTGGCTCCTGGCTTCAGATTGGTCCAACTCTTACTGTTTCAGTCATCTTCTCTGTCTCTTTATGTATAAGATTTCTTTTAAAGGCAGAGTTACAGACAGTGAAAGAGGAGGAAGAAAGGGAGAGAATCTTCCATCCTTAACTGGCCATAATGGACGACCTGGGTCAGGCTAAAGCCAGGGAGGAACCTGGAACTCCATACAGGAATTCTCTCTCTGTATATAACTCTTTCAAGTAAAAAATAGATCTTTTTAAAAAAGCTATGTCTTGCTGCGGTACTCAGGAATTTTGGATAATATAAAAAGAAGTACAACAAGCAATTCCACCTCTTATTTTAACAGGAATGTCTTGCGTGTTTCACTATTATTTAATTTTGGGTTCACCACTCACTGCTAGATTCTGTGCAGAGTCAGAAATAGCAGGTGATGAACGCACTATCTGAGAACTTAAAACAGTTCTATAATGTCACTTAACTAGTGCAGTTCTTTTGTTGCCCAAAACAGAGTTGGCCTTCCCATGTTTCGGTTTGATATTAGAATGTGGTTTATACTCATGGAGTTCATCTGCCATTATGTTCATTTCAGTCAGTCTGCTGTGAATGCAGATTTCCATGAATACTTCTCACCTTGAAGAACAGCTACTTGTCAAGCTCATTTATAGTGTTTACTTTTCCATATTGATTTCAGTATGCACATTCCCAAACCACCTCTTGGATCATTCTATTGCCCAAGAAGTATCTGCAGAAGCAACGAGCAGGTGGGTGACGAGTGCAGGAAAATCTGGAGGCTGCGACATTTTTAAGTCTCAGGTAGTCAGGTAAATACAATTATAGATCTTGTACTTCGTGCTAAAAATGACCACCTTCATTAGGCAAAGCACAGCATTGTGTCCCTTCCCCAGGGCATTCTTTTCATACGTGTTGCTCCAAATATGAATGAGATGGCATCAAGGCTTGGAAGAGAGAGGGTTGGGCCAGTGGTCATCTTTTGTCTGGTGTTCCTGGCTATGGAAGCTGTCCCCCTACACCCTTTTTGTAATGTTTGTAAGACCCAAACATTCCTCTGAGCATCGACTCACGCAGCCTAGGCACTGTGAAGGAAGCATCGACCACTTGCTGGTAGTAACCATTTGGGAAGCCATGGCGCAGCTGCTGGTGCATGCGCTGTAATGCAGCTTGTGCAGCACAAGGCTGAGGAAAGCAGACTCTCCTGGGCCTTCCCTGGGTGGGGTGACGTGTAGATACAACTTGGGAGTGACCCTAGTCACTTCCTCACCAAGAACAGAGTCTTCCTGGAGAGCTCAGAGACATGACTAGGAAGCCCTGGGCCTCAGTCTGTGTGTGTGTGTGTGTGTGTGTGTGTATGATGCTGTAACAAAATGCTTCTATAAAGAGCAAAACTTTATTTTCTCACAATTCTGCAGGCTGTCAAGTTTAGATGAAGACACATCTGGAGAGGGACTTTTTGCTGCATCCTTGCTGGGCAGAATTTAGAATGGGGGAGCATGAGATTACTCCCACAGACCCTATTTTATAACAGGAAGAATCCATTCTCAAAAGGGCAGAGTCCTCAGGGCTTAACCACATCCCCAGAGGGGCCACTGGCTGAGACTGCTACATGGGGGATTACAGTTCCAACACAGGAATGTTGTAGGACACAAAGTATCACACTGGATCTGAGCTGTAGAGTCCCATCATTCTGGGACTTGTCAATAGAGAGTTTGTGTCTCCTCTGTTTGCCCAGGAGGTGCTTGCTGCTACTTGTGGTGGGCCATACTCATTAGCTGACAGCCAATCTGAACGGGTAATGATAGGCTCTGGAATCTGTCCTCAGGTCATTTGCCCCTTCTGTATTGCTATTCTCGGGAAGAAGCCAGAGGTCCCACACAGGAGACCACACCTCACAATGCTGAGCACAGCAGGTGACTTTACAAGGATTCGATGACATGAAGAGAGGACTGAAAGAGCAATTGCAATGTAAATGCCTTTACTTTTACCATTTCTCCTTTTCCTTTTTTTTTTTTTTTCTTTCTGTAAGAACAGAAATAATGACAAAGACCCTGAGATAATTACTGGAAAACCCTAGCCTCTTGGGAAGGGTCTGCTTGGTACTGATGGCCTGGTGCCTGAAGGGTGGTGTGCGGGCCCACACAGGGGCTGTGGCTTAGATGCACTGAGCCTGGTCTTCAGAGTATCCAAAGGACTAGCCTGCGGCGTTTAGAGCAGTCTGCAAGGTCACGTACCAGCATCTTCATACAACAGTGGCTACTACCAGACATGCTCTTTGCAAAATGAAGGTTATTTATTGCTTGCTATGATTTTAACAGGCAAAAATACTGCACAGGGTCTGTCATATCTACAAGGTGATCTTGGAGAAATGCCTTCACAGGATTGGACATTGGAAGAACTTCGCATAGATTTTTCTTCACACACTTTCCCTTTTCTGAGCGAGGTGGAGCCCTAGCCCCACCATGTTGCTGGGTTGAGAAACCGGGGCGGGGGGAGCGGCATCTGCCTTGGGAGCCAACACTCTCCTCAGACGTCCATACCACTGTTCCACTGATGCCCACCTGGGTTCACTGAACTCCATCATTATGCACTTGTACTTGGGGAGGGCAAAAGTCATGCATATAGATAAACCCAATCAGCCTGCTTTTTCTTTAAAAAATGAGATGAAAAAATAAATCTGAATACACTTTTCAAGCATCACTCTTGAAACTTTTATATATGTTAAAGCTCTTATTTCTCTTTTCAATATACTCTACTTAGAACTTTAAAAAATAAACTTTCTTTGGTGCCTTTTGTTTCCTGTGTTCGCCTTGGAAACATTGAAAAAATACATCTTCCCGAACTCTTCTGTGCAAATAATAAACATAAATAATATTCACATCTATCTTATATATATAAAAAGGGGCCATTTCAAGGTTTTCAGTGTGACTGCAGGCACTTGAAGGTGCTCCTAAAAGTAGTCAGTGGCCTGTCCCGGTAAGTCACGCAAGTCTGGATCTGGCTGCGGGGCACTGGACAGGAACTCACCATCCCGTTTATCCATCTGTAAGCCATTGCGGGAGAACTGCAAAACACTGCCCAGCCCACTGACTAGCGACAGGGAGGAGATCCAGTTGAGAGAACTGAAGTTGGGCAGGCTGAAGAGGGACGACAGGGGGGCTGCCCTGCCCGCACTGTTGGGTTTCCTCTTGGAGTCCCCAGGACAGTCTTCTGGAATGGCCTGTCCTGGCATGGAAGACCCTTGGGTCTGTGCATTCAGCCCCTCTGGAAGGGGGTCCTCCCTCATTGTCACAATGGTATCCACTGTGCTGGGCTCCCCACTGGCTTCTGGGGAACAGGTTTGCTGCAGTGTGTGCCAGGAAGCCTGGGAGACAAAGTCCCCAGAGAGGGAGTTGCAGGGGCCGATGGTCCTCTCTGAATCCTCAGTTCTCTGTTCTCCTTGGAGGGGTTCCTGAGCAAAGTTCCCTTTGGGAGTGTTGAACATCTTTGGGATCTTCTTGGCTGACTGGCGTCCCAGTTGAAGTGGTGTAGGGAAAAGGCTGCCTTGGAGGGCTTTGAAAAACAATCTAGAAAGAACACATTTGAAAAAGGCAAGTCAGATCCTGCCCTGGGTTGGTGCCTTTGAGCTTCCAGAGACTCACACAGAGCCAAGGCTCAGAAATGCCACCCTGGTACCTACCTGGGCAGCAGCGCAGCGATAGGTGCTATGAGGCAAGTCAAGTAAAACAGGGGATCGCCCAGTAATGTCTGCATGGTCCAATATGGGTTAGACGGAGGATAGCACGTTGCACAGGACATGTTGTAAACCAAGGCCACGGAGAAGAATAAAAGGATACTGAAGCCACACGTTATCCAGTTGAGCCAGGTCTGAGATAGATGAGGAAAAAAATCAAGGGGCTTTTATTTCAGCTGTTAGTGACAATGATGACATAAAAATAAGTGCTTTAGTCATCACCGAATGAGTGTTATGTTCTAATGGTTTAGTGAAAGCAAAGGTCTTTGCCACACATGGGTGGTGAGATGCACTGGGCAGCAGGAGGGCCAGACATGAGGGCAAGGAGGTACTGTGGAGGTGATGCAGTGTGGAGGTGATGGAGGTGATGGTAGGCATGAGCTGAGTTGCCTGGAAGTGTGAGATGGGGGCTCCCTATGCCAGCCAAACGGCGATGGACGGTGTCCGTTTCCTTCTCATCACAGGGATGTTGAGTTCCCATCTCCTGTCTGGTAAGGAAACATCTGAATCTCCAGGAAACTGTGGCATGAGTGGCCAGGGACTCTTACCCAGGTTTTGGTTTCAATGCCCAGGTGCAGCAGGAAGGTGAACAGTGCGATGGCTGTGATGGGGGTCCCCCAGGTAAACATGTCCACATCTGAGTCATAATAGGCCTGAAATACAGCAGCAACTTATGTCTGTGGGTTCTTGGAGGCCATTGATGGAAAAACTGTGACTAGTGTGCACTTACCAGGTAAGGAATGAAGAAGCAAACCAGGCTCTGGAATGCGGCATCTGCCATGTTTAACCAGAAGGTACATGGCCGATACTCCTAGGACACAGACACAGGGACAAACACAATAAAATTAAAAAAAAAAAAAAAGAAAGAAAGAAAGCAGTGCACAATGGAGTACTTGTTCCCCTGTTGGTTTGTCTTCTTGTTAATTCCCATTCACAATTAATCATGTTTTCCTGGTTTGCTTTAGAAAGATCCTACTTGGGCCTCAGCCATCACTGTGATTATCTGAGCCAGGAAGGTTTTTCTTGGGTTCCTGGAGATCTTAGGAGTGAGCATGACTTTCATTCCCTAACTAATGCACTACAAGACCCAAGTGGACAGTGACCATTTTCCTTCCTCCAGGTCAGATTTTAGACTATCACCATTTGTCTAGAGGTCCAGTGGGAGGAAGACAGGAGTCAGAGACATTGTGGTGGGAGTTGGGGTGAGTCCTGACCTCCATATTCTGGCCACTCCTGTAGAGCTGCGGCTCAGACAGTAGCATCCAGGCTGGCACATCCTTGTCCAGCACCCCAGTCACGAGCTGGGGAAGTGACGAGAAGAGCAGGTTGAAGAAGATAAGGTACCACTGGTCAATCATGGCAGATGCAGAGAAGCCACAGTAAAACTGGAACCAAAACAGGAGACACACGAACATCTGCAACCAAGAGAGGATGAGTGAGAGCAGACACTGCTTGAGTTACCCTTGCACGCTCTCCCCCACAGGGTCTAAAAATCCTGCAGAGTTCTCTGCAAAGAGGACACAGATGTTCAACTGTGAGCCCCAGTGTTGGCCTTTTCTTTTCTCCTCATTCTTCTCCCATGCACCCTCCTTGTTCCCATCAGTTTAGAGGAACTGCTGTGAGAACTGGGACTCCCAGGAGCACCCTTTGGAGGGATGAGGCGTTGTGCACAGTCATAGATTATGCAAGGTTTGACAAGGAATTTGGGGCTGCTTCCATTTCAGGAGAGCTGGGGGAATATAAACCTGGGGCATCTTCTTCAGTACCTCTCCTTTATGACTATGAGCAAAATCTACTGGTGGTTCCATCTCTCTTTTTACTTACACTTTTTTTTTTAGATTTAGATATTTTGAAACTTCGCACTAGAGAGAAAAAGAGAGGGAAAGGGAGAATCTTCCATCTGCTGGTTCACTTTTCTGTTGGCTACAATGGTCAGTGCTGGACCAGGCTGAAACCAAGACCCAGGAGCTTCTTCTGGGTCACCCACAAGGGTGGTAGGGGCCCATGGACTTGTACCATGCTCCACTGCTTTTTGTAGGCCAAATGGAGCAGCCAGGACTTGAGAACAGATTTCCACAAGTGGTGCCACTGTCACAGTGGCAGTCCTACCTAGTATACCAAGATGCCAGCCTGCAAAACATTTTATTAGCTGGGTAACTTGTTAAAGATCATTTAACCTCTCTGCCTTAGTTTCTTTGTCTGTGACATGAGCATAACATCAACACCTAGCCATGAAGTTGTTGTGAGAACTAAAGGGCTTGTTGCATTTAGAACTTTTACTAGAGTTCCTGGCACACTGCAGGTACTCACGTGTGTTATTTTCTTAGCTGTCAGCAGTTTTGTGATTTCCAGTTTTTGAGACTCAGGCAGAACCAGCATTCTTGTCTCTTATAGAGAAAATAGATTGAGACTCCAAGATGCTAAATGAATATGGAACATGAATATGGAACTCAACATCTCCCAACCTAGGTGGTTCTTGACCTGGGGGCATTGGACAGTCTCAAAAAGGACCGTGTTATAGAGAACATTCTTCTTTTGGGCACAAGCCCTGTGTCTTCATTCTGGAAATTTAACTATCAAAAATTCATTTAGGTCAAGAGAAAAATATTCCATTTTTTTGCTGGTTCATTCCCCAAACACCCAGAGAGGTCAAGTACTGGATCAGGCAGTAGTCAAGAGCCAGTAACTCAATCCAGATCTTCCACATGGAAGGAATATCTCGATGCCAAGTACACTTGAGGCATCACCTGCTTCCTCCAGGGGTGCCCGTTAGTGGGAAGCTGGGATCAGAAGCAGAGCTGAAACAGGATGCAGGGATTCCAAATGGTGTCTTAACTGTTACGCTGAATGCCGACCCCTATCCATCTGGCTGGATAACATCTCCGAGCTTTGGTTTCTCGATCTGAACATAGCTTGTTGTGAAGATCAGAAAACATGACAGTCTGTGTTGATAAAATCTGTAATGACATGTATCCTCCAAGCCCTGTGTCCATCTGTGACTTAAATCTCTTCATCTACAAATTTGCCCCTCTGCACCCAAAGCTGGCAAGCAATTTTTCATTGACTTTCCTTCTCTTCCTTCCTCCCACAGCTGACTTTCTCTCATCCACCCCCACTAAGAGCCTAATGAGTCACCAATGGGCAAATGGAGTCAGGAGGAGGAAGACAAGTTCTCAGATAATTGAGGGTACCCCCCAACCCCATGCCATAGTACCAAAAAGCTTTCTCCCCAAACAGCTGTTGCTATGGCAACTTTTCTTCTGTTCTGTATCGGAAAGGAAGGCCAATTTATTCCTAAAACTAATGAGTTTCTCATTTTAGGAGACAGAATGCTTATCCTTGAGCTCCTCACATGGATTAATGCTTGCTTAACAAAGGTCCTGCATCTTCCATGCAGTACAAACAGGTTCTCCCTTGTCCTTCCTGTGCCCTGAGAGGATGATTCATCATCGTGGAAAGTAATATGTCAAGTCCAGGTGGCTACTCTGGCCTTTCTTGTCTATGAAATGTGGAATGGTTTAAGTTAGAGCTTCTTACCATCCTCACCCCAATCCCTCACACCTGAGAATTTTCACTGGCAATTACACAGATCAACTGGCTCAAGTTGACATATATAAGACAATCACTGATTTACAATGGGTTCAATTTCCAGCTTTTTGACTTCAGGACGGTGTGGAAGTGATATACCTTTAGTGGAAATCATAATTTGAATTTTGAGTTTGGATTTGTTCCTGGGATGGCCAGATGTGGCCCAATTCTTTCTGGCAATTCTGGGCAGTGTTAGCTGTTAGTAAAATCTGCAATCATGAGGGGGTACCACTGATACCCTGCAGTGTGCGCAGTATTTCTGGGTTAGCTGCTTGGTAAGTTAGCTGCAACAAGCACATTTTTGACAAGAAATATCCAGCCCACAATGGGTTTATCTGGATTTAACCCCATTGTAAGTCCACAGTTAATGGCTGGCAATAAAATGGGGTTTTCTTCAATTTGGTCACTTGTTCAATTTTCTGAGAAGCAGGAACCTACAGCTTCACCCAGCTGGAGATTCAACACTAAGGAGGAGGAGTGGAATAGCGAGGGCTGGGGATGAGACAGCTTTCTTTGAAGACAGTCCCAGACAAAACCTACTCTGATTTAATTTCTAGGGCCAAACCCATCAAGTAAGTTTCTGCTTACTTCTTGCTTGGTTCTCAGCATCTGTGTGTGTTTTCAAGAAGCTTTGAAAATAGGCATGAGGAAGCTGATGGAAGAGGACAGAAACAGAAAAGTAGGGGTGATATTTCAGAACAAAGAATATTAATGAAAAGTGTATGGATAGGAGTTTGAATTTACTATAGGAAGTATTCTGAGGAACTAGAAAAATAATACACCTTTTAATTGACTTCATTTTATTCTTACTTTCCAAAAGAGAACAAGATAACCTTAACATTGGAGTTCTCATGTCTCGACAATGAGATTTATGAGACTATCCTGGAGGATCATGGACCAAAGAGTTAATTTAATTTATTCTATCTCTTTGTGCATTTGGCTGCAAGTTATCAGAGGAAGAAACACTACAAGGAGTGACCCAGCTGCTTCTCAGCTGCTATCTAGACACTTCTTACAAGTGGGGCAGTGTTCTGAGATGGGCACATGGTTTCCCCTACACAGCTGTGAGGATGCCTGTCTGTACAAGTCTCCAGTAATCAAAGAAAATTAAGAATTAAATATTGAGATCCACATAAAATGCATCCTTCAAATGGTGGTTCCACAAATGAATCTCAGGCCTTTCCATCCAAAGCCCCTAAAGACCAGTGTCCAATACCTACTGTGTTTTTGTAGAAGAAGTACAGCACCATGTTGGCAAGACGGGAGTAGCACCAATGTCCGTGAACAATTAAGAGTCTCTCCAGATATCGGAATCTTGGCACCGCAAAGTCACTAGCCATCACTGCCTTGGGAGGGAGAGGAATTCCTGTTATTGGCTCTGTCCAAAATTCAAGGCAAAATATAAGAAGAAAACTCCAGTTTAATAGTTCTGAGCATGGCAAGCCAAGGGATGCTCTGCTATGGTCTCTCTCACCATCCACTACAAATTAGCAAAGCCAATTTCAACATGATCAGTGGAGGGATATCACATTAGAGGATTCATTTAAGGCTTCAAATATTCCATATGCAGCTATCGGGTCTACAAAGTTGACTTTACTTCTATTCTCCCAATGACTTTTTTTTTTTTTTACGAACCAAAAAATCCAGAGATGCAAGAAGTTTAAGAAATTTTAGAAGTTTAAGAAGTTTCCCTCCCTTTCTCCCTATCCTATCCTATCTACCCACCATGCTATAGTCCTATGAGTTAGACCACGCTTTTAAAACTAATATGAACCCAAACTGCCCACTTGAATTTGCATCAGAGTTAGATGGTTTGACATTTTAGAAAGTGAATTTTGGGTTGTTTCTCCCAGGAGCCACAAGAGACGAGCATGGCCAGTCCCAGGACATCACCTGTAGGTAGCAGAGAGTGAGAGGGGTAGAGACAGCAAGCTTGCTTCCTCTAGGGACAGGAGAGAAGTGTGCATGGGAGTTCCCCCTCACTTGGATGAGCTTCATGCTTTGCACAACTAAATGAACCGGCCTATACCAGTGCCATTACAATAATATTTTTTGTTTCTAGAATAAATTGGAAAACCATCATACAATGGATTTCATTACATGCAAAAAAGATGTAATGAAATGACAGGGAAAGGTAGCTTTCTGCTCATCTTCAGAGGGTGAGTCTATTCAAAATTGTCAGTGTGTGCTTAATATTGAATTGATTTGCCTGTATTCAAATAATACCTGAAGAAGAGTAAGTTAAACTTGAAATAGGACAGTACCACTGCCCAGTTGTCCTTCAGTGTCTGTTTCAGACTAGTTCTACTTTGCTACCTAAATACGAAAACCCAAGGGTACTCAAGTCTAAGATATCTAACACATTCTAAGAGACATCTAAGTAGCTGTTAGGCAGTGCTGTTTACCAAGAATGACAAGAAGAAAAGTCTCTCTGTGGTCAGTCAGTATGGACATAATTATCCATTGAAAGTATTTTCAGCCAGCTTGCAGTTGGCTGAGTCCATAATGTAGAAACTGGGGCTATGGAAGGCCCACTCCGCATGACTAAAAGGCTTAAAACCTTAGAATATTAATCATGATTTCAAAGTAAATATCTCCATTCTTCTTCTTATCAAAATATTTGCATGGGAGTTTAAAAGGTTTATGAATGTTGATTCTTCATGCATTCATCTTATTATTCATTTTCTTGAAATCATGTGTCAAGTCCCCACTGCTACCCAGCATGGACCTTGAGATGTGGAGGCAAGCAGGTTCAGGGTCTACCCTCTGTGGAATCAGTATAAAGGCTCTGTTAAAGGGTGGCTCTTCAACCGGGCTACAAGGCAGCCCTTCAGCTGGTCTTCCAAGTGGAAGCCTAAACTCAAGACAAACTGCATGTCAACTGCTTCTGGTCAAGTTCACCTGGCTTTCCGGCCTTTTGCCCCTCCTTCATACCCCCAATCTAGACCCCAAACACAATGACAGTCCTACCGTCCAGGTGGCCTTTTAAACATCTTCAGCTGCAGAAATTCCAGGGGAGCCAAGATGGTAACTGCTGTGATTATTACGCTCCCCTGAGTTCCCAGCCAGTGCTTGGCTCTAGGACAGGGGTGGCAGCATTCACTCAAAGGCCTTATAAGGCCTGTGAAATCATTTATTCTAGCTCTACGAAGACAGCTATTGCTGGCACTTGAAATTTAGTAGATCTGTAGCAGGATAATTTGAAAGTGGATAATTTTGTATAGTCCATAAATGATGTAAATATGCAGAAAGCCCTTGGCAGAAAAAGTTCCCCATGACTGCTCCAGGGGCTGCTCAACAAACACAGAGAATCAGAAGATGGAGCTTCTTGGCAGACGCAGAAACTGTTACCTGCCCTGGGGCTCCCTGCCTGCCTGCAACAGCCTCCTCCATGGCCTGAGCTGATGTGGGGAAGGCTCAACTACTCATCCTTTCACATCCTCCATGGCTCAGTGCCCAGCCCTGAAATCCCACAACACCCTAGCTCCTGACTCTCATACGGCTCAGTACAGCATCCTTTCCTTTACTGGACTGACGTACAAGCAACAGGGTCATGTTAACCTGGACAACTTGAACACCCAGAAAAATAAGGAAAAGCATGAAGCTTTATTACCATCTTACATAATACCTCCCCAGTAAGGAAACTGAACTTTAAATAAATTCAGAAGTGTCCAAGTACATCCAACCTAGAAGTTAACACCCACTTAGAGCTGCATGTCAAGGCATGGGCCTCATGGCTGCACTGTCCCCATCACTCCTCACCTGGCTTGAGGTCACAGATCCCTTTGACTGGGAGTAGTACTTGCACCTTGAGCAACAGACTAGAAGTGCTCACTCAATCCTCTCCCCACTGAGCACTTAGCATTATCCTCTTTGATAGTGAAGGCATTTACTTGTTGAGTTTCTCTGCCTATTAGAGTTCAATGCACTCCCTACCACCATTGGTGTTTTGCTTTAGTTGACAATAAAAACAAAAGCAATGTTGCAAAGTCAGAATGCATGAATTATTTCCCCCACATGCCTGGGGTAGTGTGGGGAGGTAAGGTGAGTCAAACACAACTTTTTCTTTCCATTTCAATGTCACAGACTAAATGTGTGTACAAGTAACCTGACACAGGGACTCAAGTCAGACATAAGCGGGAGCAGGGAAGGAGAATGCTGAGTGGGCCCAAGGTAGAAATCAAGTTGTTGGCCCCTCTTATTCAAAGGTTGTAGACTCCTGTTTTTAAACAATCATGGATCAGAAAGATTCAGAAAAGAGAAATTCTGTCCAGAACACATACTGAGATTTTCCTTGGTTCTGTTCCCTATACAATGTAGTCTGATGACTATTTTATGTACTATTTACATTGCATTAGGCATTCTAAGTAAGTCAGAGAAGACTTACTTAAGATACATGGGAGGATGTGTCTGCTATCCAAATATTTCATTATTTTACAAAATGGATTTACTAAAGTGCAAATTTTATTATCCACAGGTGTCCTGAGACTGATCATCCACGGATAGCAAAACCAACTATTCTTTGCTTTCAACTGGGGACCTTTCATGTGATTGCTTTTTTTAATACAAAGCAAAAAAAAAAAATGAAGAAGAAGAAAAACTAACAAACTCTGCACAGTCCTGACACAAGGCAAGTGCTCAATAAATAAATGCTGATTAGGTGAGGGAACTGGTGAATTAATTCATGAAAACTAAATGGTGGTTAGCATCTTTACTTTTGGAAGAAAAACACTGGATAAAGTGTTCCCTTAAGTCTCCACCAAGCTAAACAAAAAAAAAGTTTCAAACTTAAGTGCTGGAAGTTGTGATACTAAACCTAAAAGAGGCGCATTTTTAATTAACTCATTTGTTCAATGTCTGGATCACACATCAAGATCTGACACAGCAACAAATGAAAAACTGCAGAGCTGAGTTATTGGGTGAGTCAAGATGGCCACATTCCATTTTTATCATGACTCTGGGTTCCAACAGCACCACATGAAAGTTTTCCAAAAGGGAATTACTGTGGTGCTCAGGAGCAGTCTTACGTGCCTCCCACAGATTCACCATCAGGAGCCTGACGGCAGGTGGCGAATCACCTAGCCTCTTTCTGAACCATTTCACAAAAACATACTGTAGACACCTTTATTATACACCCTTCATAAATGTGACATTCCCCTTTACCTTCTATTATCAGTCTCACAGAAGAAGAATGGCAGTTACATCGAAGCAAACCCTTTAGCTTCACCACATGGTGTCCTGAGCAAGGCCAGAATAGCTTACAGTGTGACGGGACAAGAGGCATCTCACGAGGCCATCCTGGTGGCTCTTTACCTGCATGCCCTCTTGGCCTGAGATTCCAACACCCACATCTGCTACTTGGATCATGCTGACATCATTGGCTCCATCACCTAGAAAAAGTACAGGCAGGAAGAATCACTTGAGTTGAGAGGCACAGAATCAAACAGTCTGAGTTTGGGGGTCTCCGTACCATCATCATCACCACCACCACCATCATCACCACCATCATCAGTAATACAGTTGCTCAGCTATTTCAGTTGAGTATGAGTTGCATTGGGTATTCTAAGTGAATCAGAGATGACTTAAAATTCATGGGAGGATATGTCTGTTATACAAATACTTCATTATTTTATAAAATAGATTTGCTAAAGTGTATATTTTAGTATTCATGGGTATATAAAACTTAGACTTACTGGAGTTAGTTGCTTTTTAAGATTTATTAATTTTCAATTGAAATGCAAATTGAAAAGAGGAGATAAAAAGAGCAAGATCTTCTATCCACTGGTTCATTCCTCAAATGGTTGCAATGGCTGGTGCTGACTCAATCCAAAGCCATGAGCCAGGGGCTTCTTTTGGGTTTCCCACATGGGTGCCAGGGCCCAAGGACTTGAGACATCCTTCACCGCCTTCACAACCATAAACAGGAAGCTGGATCAGAAACGAAGCAGCTAGAACATTAACTGGTGTATATATGGGATGTTGGCACTGTAGGTGGAGGATGAGCCTATATATCCACCACCCTGACCCATATCTGGGCAGCTAAATTCAGCCCGTAAAACTGTAATTCACTTTTGATACATTGATAATCAGTCAGTTTATTAAGTATTTTGCTCAACTTTAGGCCTCCTGAGGGTGTGAGAAAGGAGTGCTTTCTCTTATTCTGTCGAACCACAGAGAGAAAATACTTAGGAACCCAGGATTAAGTCAGAGCTCTTGGCACCTTCAAGGAAAGCCAGCGAGACACACAAAGCTAGTATCATTCAGGGCTAGTGAGTACTCTTGGTGGGCAGGACAGCCCAGATCACAGCACCTCAGGAGCTTAAGGGGCACAAGTGCTATGAGGTATGGATACACAAAGCGTCACATGGCTGTGAACTGCTCTTTTTCTTGTGATTTTCTGATTTGTATTGAATCTGGCCCATTGGAGGCTATCAGTCAATTATCTTTCAAACTAAAATTTGGTGAAACATGTTTGGGGTGATGGATGTGCCAACTGCCCTGATTTGAACACATATCAAAATATTACATTGAATCCCGTAAAGGTGTATATTTACTGTCAAGCTATTATATGAGGCAATACAATTCTCTACACCTTCTGAATTTTTTCCATGACAAAATGAATTGTGATCTGCATTGATGATTCCACATCACAGGAGTGGGTCATAGGATCAATGCAATGGAATAGAGGTTTAGATAGACCATCATTTTTCCATTGTCTTTTTAAAAATCTGCTTTGTTTCCTCTTTTCCTTCTAATTAGCTAAGGCTTAACTTCTATTTTACAAACACTAGACACCAGGGATGAAATGGCTGAGCTAGGCACTGAACATGTGGTTTATCATTCACATCTTAAGTCAGCCTTTTGAGGCAGAGCTTGTTCTCATGTCTTCACTGAGGATGCTAAAGTACAAGGGAGGAGGAAAGCTGGTGAGTGACACAAATCCAACCTGCAGTGTCTTAATTCTTGCCTCCAGCTCCCACTCAGAGAATCTTGGTGGAACTGCATGGGCCAAAGGGTTGTACATTGATATTTCCCTCATGTCTCTTGGACAGGCACCATGGACCCACCTATGCACTCTCCTTAGCAGATACCACAGCTCTCAGGGGGTGCAGGACCATGTCTCTATAATGTCCAAGCTGAGGTCAAGGCTCTTCCTTGCCCCCACATCCTCTCAACAGAAGGCTCTCACAGGATAGAGCAGGAATCTCTACCTCGACAAGGAGTGATGCCCATAGAGAACACTGTAATTTTAAGTGATTGATTGCTTAGTGAGGTCATTCTTTCAGAGCTCACCAAGATGTGGACCTACTGGTCAACCTGGGAACCACGCCTTTCCTGGCCCTCATCAGGAGATGGTGCTGCTGGGTTCCTAAACGTATGTGAAGACTTTGACCCAGAAGTGGGAGGTACTGCCTGCAAGGATGCAAGTGGTCCCATGGCATCATTGGAGAGGAGTCTAGAAAACTCTTCAGGCCACTAATATTCACAAGAACAAACCACCAGAAACACATAGATACAAAATTCTTAGGCAAATGTAAAGTTTCAGAACTATTCATCTCTTATGATAGATTCATTTAATTAAGTTCTTGCCTCAGAATAATCCATGAAGTTCAGTTGATGAGACGCAATGAGAATTCTTATCACTCCCATGTCTGAAATCCTTGAAAGGGATGGATGGGCTAATGCTGACCATGCAGCCCCTCCATGGTGGCCAGGACTTCCGGGATGGGCAGCTCTCTTGCATCTGCTTCCCAAGAAATAGGTTAAGTTCCAGCTTGCCTTTCTAAGCTTGCATGGTATTACTGATCATGTGACATGTACTTATGTCTACTGCTGCTGTTTTGTGGCTTACCAATGTGAGCTGTATAAATAGAACATGTTGGTTACTTTGTCTAGCTGGGTGTATTTTATAAATGGGAAAAGAAGAGGAAGACATTTCCCAATGGTGCTGCATGGAAAGATTTTAGAAATTCAGACCGGAAGGAAGCAGCTGAACGAGACTGCTTTAGCAGACAGGTTGCGTTGGTTTGTCCATTTTAACTACTTGCCTATGGCCAGGGTCATGGCCTTGAGCTTGCTTCTGACCAGCTTCACCACCATGCTCTTCTGCAGAGGGGTTGACCGACAGCAGAGGACTGAGCGGCACTGCTTGGCAAGGATGAGAAATTTGTCCTCCAGGCTTTTCTCAAGGGCATAGGCTAGACTCCTCCCATCAATCACGAGGCACGGACTGTGGGTGGTAGCAGAGGGTATGTTGGATGAGGAGAAAGGAGAGAACCCTACAGTCACGTTGCCTTCCGTCTTCTCTGGGGTGGAGCTGCAGACACCCCGGGACTGCATATACTGTAGGCACTGGTCCAGCAGGGCTGCACAAGCTTCCTGAAATGGACACCAGAGAACAGTGTGGTTTACTTTAAGTCCATACCAAAGACTTTGATCACTTCTTGCACATCCCTGGAGTGACAGCCTTTTGGGGCACTAGGCTACAGGATTTGACTGCCCAGAAGGCCACCCTCCAGAAACTTTAAAGGTTGATTGAAAAGGGTAACTTTCTACATAGAAGAGAACAAACTGCTTTGCATTTCTGGGACATTCTGCTTTATCTCCCACATTACAGTGCAGAGTCTGTAATGGCAAAGCTCCACTTGGGAAGGCATGCTGTATCATTGTTAGGTTGCTGCTGGGTTAGGCTGCAGGGGTTCCCCTGCCCTCTCCTTCCCATTCCCATCCTCCTGCCCTTGCATATTGCTCTGTTATTCTCTGAAGTTCTTATGTAACCCCTGTTGCTTATTGAGGTAATACCATAAGGATCACAGTAATTTTTTTTCACTATGATGGGATCCTAAAGAAATGCAACTTCCTGGGTTCTATCATAGAAGAAAGAGGAGACGTCAAAGCAGAAGCAGCAGAAGAAGGATAAGGGAGAAGAAGAAGGAGGAGGATGCGAAGAAAGAGGACGAGAAAGAAAAAAGGAAGAAGAGGACAAAAAGGAAGATGAGAAGCAAAAGAAAACGAGGAAGAGAGGACCAGGATAAGGAGAAGAGGATGAGGAACAGGACAAAGGAGAAAGGCATTTGGACCTGAGTTACAGAGAGCAGAAAGATTTATGAGAACTCTGCACTGGGCAGCAACCAGATATGGGAGCTCGAGACTCAGGTGGGCTGGCTGTTTCTGGGACATACCAGGGAACTCCCTGGCTCCTGGCCCTCTGCACCCAGGAAGCCCACAGGGTTGGCAAATGGTTCCCTGTGACACATCCTGGAAATCTGGCCTGTTCAACCAACACTGAGAATCTTCTGTATTCAGGAAATTCCTAGTAAGAGCTTTACTTAAATGTATATGTCAATTAGGCAGTGGATGTCTTTATTATGTTGATCTGAAAATCTATGAACATGGTATGTCTGTCAACTTGGAGGAGGTATTTTCCTTTACTCATTTCATCATTTTACAGTTTCATAACTATGTAAGTCATAAACACATTTTTGTTAGATATATACCAAATTACAGCATTTTGGAGGTGTTGTAAAGGCTTCTTGTTTGTTTTTTTACACATTTCACTTTCCAACTATTTATAACATAGAAAAATACGATTGATTTGTACAGGTCAGTTTTATTTATGTATGTTTGTCATGTTAGCTATTGTAAACTACCACGGTTAACTGCATGGCTTACGGCAGTTAGGGCAGGGGAGGAGCTGGTTTGCAGGAAAGGAAGGCTCCCTGCTCCACTGAAAAAGCCCACCATCCAGCTCGTGTGTGAGTCCTGGAAGAAACTAAGGCTTAGACGAGGGCAGAAAACTAAGCTTGAGAATTTAAGTAGATAAATGAGTGAGGATGAAAACTAACCCTCACTTTCATGCTGGGACATCCATGAGACAACCAAGATCCTGGAGAGATCAGCACTGAATGGGCTGCTGTTCTGGCTTCGCGTGTTAGGAACATACGACCTCAGGAAAAAAAAAGTCCCGATACTAGCAATATGCACTTTATGTCAGGAAAAAGCAGGTTGAGCTTCACATGGGTGTAGCCAAGAAGTGCATTCTTTGGACGGTGAGACATTTCAGCAAGTTCCACACCTTCCAGTACAATGATTAGAACAACTCAATCTCCAGAAACAAGCACAGGTGTAAACAGGGATACAGAGGCAAGGACCTGCCATTAAACGCCTCTCTGCAGAATATGACTTGGGAGTCATGTTGAACGTTGAGGCCACCACAGCTGGAGCACACCCCCTGCCCAAGCTTGCCTATACCTGTGACTCAGCATTTAGAGTGATGACCTCCTCGCCGTGATCTAGGAGTTTGCAGGCGTAGGCAACGTTGATGGCTGTTTCCTGCTTGTCTCCAGACAGAACCCAAATCTGCAGGCCTGCCTGACGCAATTTAGTGATGGTTTCAGGGACTCCCTCCTGCAGGCGATCTTCAATACCAGTAGCACCTGGTGAAATAAACACACAACAGTGTAAAGGAGCCCTCTTGTGTGGCCTCAGATCTTAACAGGGTTCAAATGCCACACAAGTTTTTCAGCCCTAGAGACTGGGATCTTTTGGAGGTTCAGCTGCCAGGTCTGGCTGCCACTCCAGGAGAGGAAGTCCCTTTTGGACGCATGCTTTGATGATTCATTGTTGCAGGTCACTAGCAGACATTTTGATTACTCCTCTCAATGTGACTCATCAACCCATGTGTAGGAACCATGGCGAGTCACTGGACACCATTATGTGTTCTTACAATAAAATGTCTCAAATTCTTTCTGACTCATACCTAGCTCCCTTTTACAGATAACTTTTACAAACAATTTGAAAACAAAACGTGAGCGAAGGTGGTAGGGATGGCTATGGTCCGAAGATTAAAAAAACAAAACAAACCAAAAAAACCCCTTAAAACCGATTCATTCCTATAAAGGTTCTGGTTAGTAAAATTTATAATGTTCACACTCAGCACAGTTTACCACTCATTATGGAGGCTAACAACACAAGACATGTTATTCTTGAAAGGGATGCTTTGCTGAAGATAGTTTTCCTAGAAACGTAAAGAATCCAAGAAGTGGGTTTTTGCTTGCTGGTCTCAGTTAGGGAAAATGTACTACAGGTTGAACATTCCTAATCAGAACCTCAAAAATCTGAAACATTTGAACACCAATATGATGCCACAGCAGAAAATTCTACACTTGACCTCATGTGATGGATCATGGTCACAACAAAGAAGCGCTAAAAACATCACATCAAATTACGCTTAGACTATGTTATAAGGGATAGATGTCATTGAATTTTGTTTAGACTGCATCTCATCCTCAGATATCTTAGTAGGTATAAACAAATATCTCCTGAATTTCCCCAGATCTGAAATCCAAGACACTTCTGGAACGCAAGAATTTTGGGTAAGGATTCTGAATATGCGTTCAGTGCAGACATATACTGAGAGGGACTGCCTCTGCTTTCTCACCTATTAATAACTTGCTCATGGGTTTCTGTTTCCCTGCTCTAAAGGAAGTTGTGAATACAGCTTTCCAAGCTCTAGCTTTGCATGTGCGTGGTGGTGGTGGTGGTGGTGGTATGTGTGTGTGTAGGGGTCCTTGCCAATTCTGCTTCCTAGGCTAAAGACCTGACTCTCAATGTGAAAGTACCAGGAGGTGGACAGCTGGAGGAGGGATTAGATTTAGAGTAAATGACAAGGATGGGGACCCCATTCTCCCATGATGAAAAGAGCCACAAATATATCTCTCTCTGCCACAGCAAAAAGTGGCCATCTGCAAACTAGAAAGTCTTCCACAGGCACTGGTTCTTGGCCTTAAACTTGAATTTCCAACCTCTGGTACTGTGAAAAGTATTTTGTTATAGGAGCACAGATGGCCTAAGCACCATTTCCACTTCTCCTACTATGGAAGAGACGGTAGGTATTTGGAGGGAGGAGATGGAACCAAGGTGTCAGGTGCATACATAATATCTACAGCCCAAGCTATACTCTACTCTGAAAATGAATTTCCACAAGACCTGGTGGGATATAGTATAGTGCTTAGGACTTGCTTAGAAGCGAAGCAAGAGGATGCTGCATGCTGGCTGCAATCATATCCTGACACCCAGGCATGGAGACAACATTTAACTTGGTCTTGGTCTGTTTCCCTCCTTCAGCTCTTTGGCTCCAGTAGAGATAGGTCCTTGGCTCATTGCAAATGTCATCACTTCTGTGATTTGCTCTTAAAGACTGGGCAAGGACAGAGGGATGATTTTGCTTGCTGCTATATGCTCACAGCATCATGTCCCTACTTTATGCTAACAATAAGAATAATCATAGTAATGACTAAGCTTGAAGGATTATTGACAATATATCAGGACACTGCTTTCACTCTGGTGTTTGATACATAATTCAGTCATTTACCACTTGTCACTCCATAACATGGCAATTTCCTGAATTAAAAGCCCAGTGTACCCTGCCTACTCAACCAGGGCCCTTCAGTTCAATGTCTACCAAGGGAGAAGGCATGGTAGGCCTCACAGGTAAATCTGAGTCTAGAAGCAGTCTGAGTCTTTTTTCAGGCAAGACTCAACGTCACAGTGTCTTGCACTTTCCAAGGTAGCTTGTTTGTAGCATGATTTATGTGACTTGGGGTGAATGCCAGCCCCTTTACAACATGACCTTTGGGAGGGCCTGGCAACGCTAACTATTGGAACATGGGGAGTTGCTAGCATTTGGAGCCAAGCTAGTGCCACCATGCATCACTGTGTGTCAGTGTTGGGCAGCTGTTAACAGAAGGAGAAAGTATGTCACCAACGGAGGAGTGATGGCATTTAGAAAAGCCCACACGAACACTGGGGAAAGAGAGCAGAATGTTGTCTTTCTTTCGAGTTCAGGTTCTTGGCCAGAACACGATGGAAAAGAAAATTTCCAAGACACAGTGAGAATGATGATTCTTTCTACAGAACATATTTATTTGTGGTTCTTGGATGTTATTTAACTTAAGCACCCAAAAGAAAGAAAAAAAAATTGAAAGGAGTATTTGGCTTTGGAATATGAAAAATATAAAGGGCTTGCTTTGCTTTCTTCAAGAATGAAACTGAGAGTTGGAACACAGGGCCCCTGATGTAGATCATCAGTAGGTCAGGAAGTAGGAGGTGGTAGGGAATTAACAGCCGGCTGTGGGAGGCAGGCTGATCTGTCACGTTTGCCCATTTCTGGGATGTAAATACTCCCACGTTGGCTGATTTCAATCTACCATCAAAAGGTTGCATGAAATTCTGAAAATTTATGCAAAATGACAACATTCTTCTTGAAAACTTATTAATGGGCTCTGACCAGTGGGCAAGAGCAGGCTTCAGCGCCCTGCCCACTGTGGACAATCCAGGGGTTCCTCATTAAGTGACGGATTGCAGAAGCACTGTCCTGTGCCTCTGCAGGGAAGAAACTGACTCCTGAGTGGCAGTGGGGCACAACGGAACCACAATTCTAAATGCCATCAATAACCAGGCCAGTTACTGATGGCCACCAAGAGAAAGAACTGGAACAAGGGATATGTATACAATGCTCATTTGAGTCACTCACATTGTTGCCCAAGCCAGTGAGAAATTTGTGTGAGAAAGACTTAGGAAGATGATCTGACATCTAGTTCAAGGTTAGCCTGGACTATATTATGGCTATTCAGAAACTTAGGGTATGTTAATAGAGACAAGTGCAGTCTATAGAGATCAGCCAGGCTGTCACACGTGTATATGCAATAACCTCAGACTTGCTACCATACTGCCACTTGCACGCTGCGGCCTGTGCCTGCACTATGCACGGCACTTCACCCTCTGCCCTGTGTCACTCTCCTAGGACCTTGGCCCCTCTGAATAATTACACCCAGGTAATAGATAAGGTAAACCGGATGTGGCAAAGGCTGAACTATTTGTCAAGCTTGCATCATCAACAAGAAGCAGAATTAAGACTAGTCAACCAGCCGGGGTCCTGGACTCTGAGCAGGGGCAGTGCACTAGGCATGGCTCAATGACTTGTGGCCATCTTCCTACAATTGAGGTCTCATCACATGAAGCAGGGAAGCAATCTTGTCTGCATTGCTCTAGAAAGTGGGACTAACACTCCCTGGCAAAAGGGATGCCAGAGGAGGACGTCAGTCCACTTGAGAAGTTAGAGCTATTCAGGAGGTAAAAAGAAGTATAAAAGAGGTTCCAATTCCATACACAATTCTTCTATTACACACATTTTCCATAAACAATTTAAAATCCTGCATATCTACCATACCATATGCTAGTGAGTTAACCATGAACTCTAGTTTAGATTAGATATCCATACAAATATGAGAATTTCCCAAATTCTCTGCCCAGGGTCTGACACCATGCGAATGCTAGCTTTTTCTGTGTCAAATGAAGATATGCACTATCTGACCCCGCAGAAAGGCCATGCACGGACAACGCTGCCCTAACTGGCTTCTCATAAGGACACCCAGAGCTCACATCCAGAGACTCAGCTCATTTGTTAAATAGTGTAATGAATACAGAATTAAATCAATATTTAAAATCTCAAATGAAATATTGAAATAATCATAAAATACTTATATTATTATGAATAGTAATCAGCATAGATTAAATATAAATATGACCAAAATAGGACATATGAACACATCCTACTACAACTGAGTCAGTCGTCTTTTCATTCCAAGCGCACCTGTGAAATATTCACAAGAACCAGCTCTGAAATATTCACAAGCCATCTCTGTGTGTCAACCATTTTCTTTTGTTTCCCAGAGGGGAGAAATCTTTTCCACCATCACTTGTCACAGGGCTTTCTCCTTATCTCTACTTTTAGTGAAAAACTTGAGTTGGTGGGGTGTAGCAATGGACCCCATAGAAGCAGGCCATAGGGAGAACGTTCCATCCAGGCCCATCCAGGCTTGTGGATGAGCGGCCCCTGATGACAGCTGCACATCTGTCTCACCAGAACCATCTGCCAACTTATCACTGAGGCATATAACAGGCCAGTCACAAGGGGTCTTACCTAGCAGGTGCAGATTTGTCTCCAGACGCAAGGCAGACTGGAAGAGGAGTTCATCACGATTTTCCAGGGAGGATTCTGCTTCTAAGTGGCCTTGCAACCAGCAAGCGTATTCTTCTTGGCTGAGAACCTATGAGACACACACTGTTGAGTGCTGGGTTGGGTGTTGCACGTTTGGAGTGGTGCAGGGCGGAGAAGTCTCTAGCAAGAATTCTCACCCTTTTGGCAATGCACAATGTGCGCAGGCCTTCCACCGCATACAGGTTGAGGTAATTTTGCGTTTTGCTTCGGATCTTCTTTTGATGCCTTCCTCTGGCATCATCTAGGTTGGAGTGTAAACAGAAATGTGGATGAGAACATACAGCTGTGTCCAGCATGTGGTTTCCAATAGTCCCTGGATTTACCATATGTCACTTTCACAGCTTGCAAATAGTTTATGCATTTTTAGGTAGAATTAAAAAAAAAAAAAAAACAGCCGTGATGAGTGCCTCATGGAAATGGCTAATTTGGCTGTCTCTCCTGTCCCTTGGTGAAACAAGAAGCAGCAGACATGTCACCCAAAGTGATCTGGCCTCCTCTCATCCAGTCCATTAAACAGTGGTGCTCATTCATCCCAGCTATGAAAATGACACTTATGCAGTTCTTCCCCAACACAGCCTCACTCATACTGTTGCCAGATCAAATCTGGCATGTAAATACGGTGTAGGACATACTTTGGCTAACTACGTTTCCTGCTGTCTCTGAAGTTCAAATTTGGCTGGTCATTGTTTGGATTGCTCATCTGGCAACAGCACACACCAGGCCTGAAGCCCCTGTCCCAGGGACACACTCTTTGATCTCCAGACTGCATTCTCTGGATGGCAGCCAGTTCATGAAATGGGAAATGTTACTGTCTCTTGTATGTCTAAAGCACAGATACATGTGTTCAGTAACCAACAGAAGCACAGCAGATCTTTGGTATGAAAATGTCAAGGGAAGATAATGAGAAACACTATCCTGAAAAGCCTCCTGAAGGGGGTGCTAATGAGAACCGAAGAGTTTACAATGTCCTGAGAAAATGATGCTCAGGATCATCCTCGCTTTCTTATTCTCAGAAGCTGAGAGTATTCTGATTGACTTGGAGCAAAGAGGCAAAGATGAGCCTACCTGCGCTCTCAAATTAAAAGTGTCCAATAAAAACACTTCCGTTGCAAAGAAGAGGAGAGGGCAGGGAGCGCCAGGCAGAAGGAGTATGGAGCAATGCTGAGATTAGCCATACTGGTCAGCACAGAAATCAGACAGTGAAAGAAGCCAGGCAGCTCTTTCCAGGACTGTGGGTGCAAAGCATAAGGAACCCTTCACACAGGTAACTACTGCTCAGGTGAACACCAGGGTGTGCCTACGTGCAGCCACCTGCACAGGGTCTGTAGGCAGACAGAACCCAGCTTTGCCTGTGTGAGCAAATGACGACTCCGTCCCCTCCTCCAGACACACAAACACATCCCAGTGAGACCCTGTTCCTCACTGTCAAGTGACTTTGCCCTTTCCCGTCCCTGCTAAACCCTGGGATGCACAGTGCCTGAGACAAACCCAGGCTGTGATGGGCACGACTGGTTCTGCATGAATGTTGAGCTCAATCTACAGTCTAGTTGAAAGGGGTGAGAGAGCAGAAAGAGTCAAGCTCCATGGAGAAAACTACCACGGAGACACCAGAGGAGCCGAGGGCTGTGGTGAACCTGTGTCCTCTTCACTGGATGGGGCACAGCTAAAGGCATAATACAAACACAGCATTTGAAGTGCTATTCAGGAAATCTCAGCCAACCTCTACCTACCCCATGTCTGGATATTATCAACAAACAGGCCTTCTGTGTTTTCTACCTATGGGGAGAGGAGAAGAATTTCTGTCTGCTGCTCAAGGTTTTGGATAGCAGAGCCACATCACATATAGGGGTGACATCAGGGCTTCCTAACACCCTTCATGCTTGTTGGGACTGGTGGCTGAAGACTTCGTTAGAAGGACCTTGAAGATTCATGTGGGACTTGAACAGGTGAGTGACACAGGGCCCTGTTACAGTCTGTAAAGATGATTCACACATCCACTGGCCCAAGACACAGCAGCGCTAACACAAGGTACATTGGCGTTCCCATCAGGAGGCTGCTGGTGATGCTCAGAACCCACCAGCAAGACAGTGCTGGATGTTCATGATACTAAATATATGATTGCAATTTGCTCCTAGTGGTGTTTCCATTTCTTTTACACCTTACAAATGAGGCTGCCAACAAGGAGTCCAGTCTTGCTAAGATGGGAAACCTAAAAAATGTGATCCTGTGGCTTGTTCATGTACCTATTCACTCATACCAAGAACGTCTATACTCATTCCCTGAACAGCAGTAGCCTAGAAGGTCCATGTTGGGCAGCGGGCTGCTGTGAAGCTTCTTTCCTGGCCTAGGAAAAAGACAGAGCAGGCTGAAGGTTGACACCTTACAAAAATGTAGCTCCAGGAACCATGGGAAAGGTAACCTAGGGGAGGGGTAAAATGGGGAAAGGATCGGTGTTGTGTTGATGTCTACATATGGGCTTGGATGAGGTGCTCTGTGGGGGCAGCAGATAGGCACAGAAAGCATGAGTGACTTGTCCAGGGTCATCCAGCCATTAAGGGCAGACCTGGGATTTGAGCAGAAGACTGTGAATCTTGGGATCATGGAGAACCAATTTTCTACCTGATATGACATAGCATCCTGACAGGATATGTAAGACACAGCCATGTCTTGCTAATACAAGACATCTTCCAACACTATCAGTTTAGCCAGTTCCTACCTCTGTTGATGAAAGCATTGTGAACACTGTGAAGAGAGACACTGATAATAAACCCCTGGTCTGACGCGCATGTGCCTTCCTCACCTTGTCACCTGCACACAGGCAGGGCAGCCTGGCCAAATGTCTTCTTCCCAGGCACAGTTAACCAGGTGTGAGAAATCCATGTTTCCCCACACTCTTTCCTGTGCATTAATGTAAGAAAAAGGGACAATTCATGTACAAGGCCAGGCTGTCTCGGGTAGGAAACTCCGAGCCAGCCCCAAGGCCTTCCCACAGCCCTGTCTGGTGGAACCAGTAGAGTCTCCGAACTTCCTGAATCCTGATCTGACCAGTATCTGTGTCTAATTTTCCCCTACTCAGCTCTCACTGTGCACACTGCTTTGAGAATTCCCTGAGGGAAGTTCCCAGGGACAAATGGATGGCAACACCGGTCGCTTACGTTCAAATGTCAATGTCATATTTTTGACCATGTAAGAACTATGGTGATGTTACTGCTTGGCTCTTCTGAGATCAAGGGACTTGAGGTTCTGCTCTTTGAAATCTGCATATCCTCCCTGATCCTCGACAATGGAGGATATGTAGAAACATAGGAAGCAGGTGCATAGCAGGGCCAGGATGAGGCTACAGGCTGGGTGGAGAGACCGGCAAGGCTCCCCAACTCTGACCCTGGGGTTGATTGTGAATCCAAGAGGGAGGAGGGTGTCAGGTGTCTGGAAAGCGGATCCAGATGCCTTCCCGCCTTGCAGATACTCCCTGAGAGAGGCCTCAGCACACTCAGGAGCCTGGGGAGGCTATATTGGCACTGTTCCCTCTGCCACAGCTGCTCCTGCCAGCTCACGTTGAACTTGATTATGCCCTGTATAGCTTGGCATATTATGGAAAAACAGGAAAGGACAGTGAACAATCCTATGCTAAATATATTCGGTGTAAAGATACCTGTTTTTCTAGGCTAGCTTTATTGTTTTGGAAGGAAATGCCAGAAGGTCTTGTTTGTGAATTGACAGCATGGGAGTGAGTGATACTTTAGTGCTCAGTTTATAAATTTGGGATTTTTACTAATGTCAAAAAATAAACAACCAACAAAGCACTGGTGTGGCAATGGCCGTGCTCCCTGCAGTCTCCCTTTGGGACTGGATGGGCCTCTCCTATAGTCTCCTTACACATGACTACTAGTCCATGCCTTGGGTCTTAGACATGACTCTTACATGTGTTAAAAGTCTGGAATGAAGGTGCATCCCACTGTCTTTACTACAAGGTCATGGAATAGCACAGAGGTGACTTTTTCCAGCAGAATAAAATTTGCTCTGATAATTGCCTTACAGATTTCTTTTGTGCAGATATAAATAAGATTCAACTGTCAGAATGAAAAGGCTTCTTGGAATGCAAAATCAGTCCTTGAGTTGAATTCTGGGCTGAGGTTGGGTCAGAATTAGTGCAACTGACCACGGTACGGGTGGAATGGCAATGACCTGTTCCCCAGGTGGCTGTTACCAAGAGAGGTCATTGAAGCTATTTTCAGAGGAATGTAGCTTGACTGCCTTTGGAGGTCAGAGCTCTGGGGATGTGAATGTCTTCCCTGCCTCTGTCCCAGAGCTGCAGAAGGATTTCCCAGAGCTCAGCATTTCAGAGCCAGTGGTACCCTATTTGTCCATTACACTGCAAGCTGAAGTCTGTGTCCTGTGCCTAGCTGCCCGCAGTGGCCTCACCTCCGCCTGGCTCCTACCCCCAGAGGTCTCGCACACCCCTCTGTCCTCTAAGTTTGGATAGAGTAGAGATCAGGTTTTCAAGTGTGGCCCCTAAATACTCCTTTCCTAAGTCTAGAGAGATTTCTAGCTGAAATGATTTGCAAGCTTTTTCCTTGCTAGCTGAAGTTTCACCTTGCATGTCAGGTTTTGAAACTCCTTGATTTCAACCCCAAAGCTGCATGCAATAGTGTGGTCCAGAGCCAGGACAGAGGATAACGAAGCTCGGCCATAGCCCCCACACTTTCTGGAGCCCCCAATGTGGCCAGAAGCAGCTCCACAGGCTGATAACTGCACCCCAGGAAGGAAGGAGACTTCCAGAACTTCTAAAGTTCCCAAACCTTTAGCTTTTAGACATGCCTGAAACAATTGTTAACCCTTTAGTTCTTGAGGGTTAGTGGTGAGTTTCAGTTGATGGTCCCTGAATGCCTTCTGGTACAAACCTTTCACATGAGCAATAAAAAGAAGGAAAATCACTCTCTCCTGGAGAAAAGACTTGGGGTGGAAAGTGATTGGAGCTTCTTCCCCACGGGTGGGGTGTGGCTTCCTGGGGCGGGGGAATACCTGAGGAACAGGGCAGCAGGAGGTCCATGACCACCGAATCAGCCCCCTTAGTGTAGACATTGATCTCATCGGTGAGCGGGTGGCGGATTACCACCGACATCCTCTTTCGGATGGAGTCAAAGCCCAGTGTGTGTAAAAGCTCAAAGGTGAGCCTGCCCAGGTGAGGCAGCTCCACAGACACCTGGTCATGCAGCCGGTCCACAAGCGCACAGTTGTAGGCCCTGGCCGCATACACCAGGGCTGCCTCGTCAGGGCTCTCAGCCTCGTAACGCAGTTCCCGCTCCTGCTCCGACTCCAACTTTTGAGCCTGATGTGAGGTTTGCTGTTGAGCCCAGCCATCTGCCTGTGTGCTGATGCCGTTGCTGGCAATGGTTGGTTCAGGCTGGTCCAGCTTCTCATCCAGACGGAGAATTGTGCTGTCATTGGCCAGGTTGGGCAGGAAGTTGGAACCTGACTTGTGATTGGACTTGGTGGAGAGGTTCCCGATGCTGCTGCAGCCTGAGGTTAGGCGGCTGGGTGTGAATCTCCGCAGGAAGTCTTCTATCGTCTTCACAGGGGACTTCACCTCAAATCTCACCCTCACCTGCAAGAGAGATGGACTCAGAATGGGCGAAGAAATCATGGCTCAGAGTCCCACAGGATGCTCCAGACACATGGAGAGATGATGGTTGCCACTTCCCTAGTGGCAGATCAGCACACAGATATGCCAGTTTTCCCAATTTGGGGCATGTACTAAAAACTGCAACCAGAGTCAGAATTTCCTCCTTGAGATCCATTGTTGGAGCTCACCTATTTCCCTTAAACAAAGGTTATTCAATCACATTTTTCTTTTTTTTTAAAGTTGATTTTTATTTTTAAGACAGAGAAAGAAGAGAAAAAGAGAGACAAAGAATTATACCTAACAGGTTACTCCTCAAATGCCTACATTAGCATATACGCAATAGCTATGTTAGGCTGAAATCAGGAACTAGGAACCCAGAGGAAGGACTTGGTTCCAGGCATTGCAGGCTGGACAAGCCTAAGTCAACTGTTGCCAACAATGGCTTCAACACCCAGGAGGATGGCTGGGTCCCAGAGCAAACCTCAGAGCGGGAGCAGGAACCATGTGGCCTTGGGGGCTCCAAGTGGAGACTTAACCCCCGTGCCACACTGCCCCGCACTGCAATACTACACTTTTGAGACAGGATCACTAGGTGATTTATGCAAAAGAATGTGCAGATTACGGCACCCACACCCCTTGAAGCTGACCCTCATCACAGTGTCTCCTTGCTTGACACACAATTGGATATTTTTTCCCAATTAGAAGGATGGTTATGTGGTAAATATTTGACCTAACTGTGAAGCCTCCCACAGCACTGGGCTGGAGTTAAGTTCTGGGTTTGGCTTTCCGCTTCACTCTTCTTCCTGCTTCCTGCACATGCTCATCCCAGGACAAATCAACTCATTTCTCAAACCCTGAAATATAGCCCGATGGAGCTCCTGGCTCCCAGGCTCAGCCTGGCCCAGCTCAGGTCAGTGCAGACACTCGGAGATTAAATCAGAGAATGGAACATTTGTCTCTGCATTTCAGATGAGTAAATAAACGGACCCATAAACAAACCAAAAATTTTGCAAACTACTTAATATAAGTTCAGTCTATGCATTCTTTTTGCATTGTATCCATAAATAGCACATATACAAATCCTATTCCCAAGCCCTAAAGACTCTTTCTTGGCAAATGAAATAGATACTCAGGATCCAAATCACCAAAAATTAATAATCACAATAAGTTAGAAATAAAGACAAAGTGAAGTTTATGCATAAGATTGTTAAAAGTTTCAAAAACTCAATGATGGATCCATGGAACTATATTTACACAAAAAGGAAATGCTGAGCAGCCTAATTGAGTTTTAGTCATCCTTACTGCTGTAACTTTGTGTCAAAAGCTGAGACAGACTAATAGTCTTCTAAGAACTCAAGGCTTCCATTAAGCAAGCACATAGGACCAGCTTATGACAAAGGTGCTTCTCTGGCCCTACAACGGTTTTAAATGTACTACCTTTCTAGACAGGAGGTGTGGGTAGATACATTACAATTCCTGCTGGCTCCAAATGCCCTCAGAGGTGGCACTCAACAATAAACAGGGATACAAGTGCATCCAGAGGCATTTCACTTGCAGTCCGAGGGTGGAAAACTAGGTTTTCTGTTCTCTACATGGAACTCCTAGCATGGAAAACCTTGAGTGCACACCTCAGTAATGTTGGTGTCTCTTTCATTCTTTCATTCATTTCAACACTACTAAGCATTTGTCAGGCAGGGACCAATCTACAAAATGAGCACTGTCCCAAGGATGCACATTAGAAAGTTGTCATGCAAGGTGGTGGAAGAGCCCAGAGGCCAGATGCAGGATGATAGAGAAGCACTCCGATACAGTGGGAAGTAGCTAGCGCTGGTCCAGTACTGGTAGATCAAACTAGTGGTCTCTGGGTGGCCTGTCCTGTGTCCCTGAAATGTGCCACCAGTGGTCTCTGGGTGGCCTGTCCTGTGTCCCTGGGATGTGCCAAGTCCACTGCAGCCTCAATAAATCAGAGTCAGAGGGGTGAGTGCAGAGACATGCTTTTGCAGTGCATACCACTTGGTTCACCTCACATCACAGCTTCAGCAGTGCGAGAAGAGGAAGATCTACAACACCTATTCAGGACTAGAAGGCCTTTGTGGCCTTTAAAGATTATTCATTCATTTATTTGACAGAGAGAGAGAGTCTGGCTGAAGCTAGGAGTCAAAAACATAATGTGTGGCTGAAACCACATGACTTGAGCCATCTCTGCTGGCTCTCAGGGTCTGGGCTCAGAGGTCAGAGCCAGGCACTGAGATACAGGCCACTGCACTGCCATCTCTACTCCTATGCTAATGCCAACCAATCTTTATTTCTATCTAAAACTGCCCGGGGCAATGTGTACATTCATGCACTCTTCCATACTACCTGATTCGGACTTGAATTGCAGAGGGTTCCTTCACATACAATCCTTTCATCTCTTTGGAGAGAATTGTAATTTGCTAAGTTGTTATCTCTCTAAGGAACATACAATGGAGCTGTAACTGCTTATCCTTGACAGACAATGCTCCATGATGCTATGAACTTCACATGTAGTTGCTATGTGCCTTGATTCTGAGCCCTCTCTGTGAGCCTTCCCCATGGCCTCTCAGCCTGGAAGTGGGTCCCTGAGGCACAGGGGAGAAGAGATGTTTGTGTGTCTAAAACTGTGGAGTTAGAACCAAGTTCAAGCATCCCATCCCACAGTCTGGGCCCAGCCTGTCTTGGCCTCCCCTGTGTGCATTGGAGACCTGAATCTCTGGCTTGGTCATCATGGCAGACTCCCTGCCCAAACCCAGAAACAGAGGAAACAGCAGAGCCAGCACAGGTTGTCTGAGCTCGCTTGTCCACTAAAGGCTGGTGCTCGGCCTAGCTGCTCTATAACCTTCTTGCTCCTAGATAAGAGGCGGGTCCTGCTTATTTGTCCTTTTAACTTGACCCTAATCTTGGTGCCCATTCAGTGCAGAATCATCGTGTTGCGTTGTCTTATATGAAGGAAGCACCCTGCCGCATTTCTCTTTAACCCGAGAGATGCTGTCCAGGAGGTCCATGTAGGAAAGGAGAGCATGGGCCCTCAGGAAGATTGACACCAGAGGGTTGTGGAGGACATGAAGGGTATTGTGGGCTCTAGAGCTACCACAGAACTTGCCTTTTGTCGTGGCTGATCTGGGGACGTGACAACTACTGTGTTGCAGATGGTCAAGGCAATGAAGAAGTCAAAAACATCGGACAGCTCTGGGGAGAGATGGGCAAGAGGATTCTCCTGGTGTCTGGAGATGGCCAGGAACTTGTCACACTCGCTCACTTTCTCAAACAGCTTTGGGTCCGGCGTAATGTCTTTCTCCTGGGAAAGAAACAAGAAAGCAGTGAAAATGACTAGTAACCTGTTCTGCATTCTGGGGCTTGACTAATTAAAACACGTGAATTTTATTATAAGCCATAATAAGAACCTCATATATACAGGCACTTCACAAGCTTCAGGGGAAAATGGGATTGAGAGGTGACTTTGCTTTGAAATCTATGCATAGCTTTTTTTTCCCCGCAAAGCACATTTCCATAAAGTTTTTGAAATATTCTTGTAAACACATATGCTATTGTATAATTACACATTGTGCATATTTTTTTAAATGATCATTTAAAGGGCTGGTGCCATGACTCAACAGGCTAATCCCTCACTTTCAAACACCAGCATCCCATATGGGCGCTGGTTCATGTCCTGGATATTCCACTTCTAGTTTCCTGTGTGTGCTCTGAAAAGGCAATGGAAGATGGTCCAAGTTCTTGGGTTCCTGCACCCATGTGGGAGACTCAGAGGAGGCTTCTTGTTCCTGGCTTAGGTTCGGTTTTGCTCTAGTCCTTGTGGTCATTTGGTGAGTGAAATAGCAGATGGAAAATTTTCCTCTCTGTCTCTCCTCACTGCAAATCTGCCTTTCTAAAGAAAGAAATAAATCTTAAAAAAAAAAAATACATAATCACTTAGGGGCTGGGGTTGTGGCATAAGGCGTTAAGCTGCTGTCTGCAATGACTCCACTTCTGCTGTATCTTACTGATAATGGGACTGAAAAGGCAGGGGAGGACAACAATTCCTTGGGCCGCTGTACCCATGGAGGAGACCTGGACGAAGCTCCTGAGAGATCTTAGCTCCTGGCTTTGGCCTGGCCTAGTGCTGGCTGCTGAGGCCATCTGGGGAGGGAACCAGGAGATAAAGGATCTGTATCTCACCCTTTCTCTGCTACTCGGTTTTTCAAAAAAAAAAAAAAAATAGAGGAATGCAGGTATTCTGCACTGGTTTACTTCCCAAATGTCCCCAAAGGTTGTAGGGCCAACCTCAAGCCAGGGGCCAGGGACTTAATCTGCCTCCAGTTGCCTACAGGGACCCTTTTGGAGTTGACTCTCAGGATTTGGAATTCAGGCATTCCTGTGTCTTAACTGCTATGCCAGCTGCCAGTCCTGAAAACACATTCTATTAACTTGCAAATGAACATGCCATATTTATTTGGTCATCCTTTTAACACTGAATATATATTTTTAAAGATTTATTTTTACTGGAAAGGCAGATATACAGTAAGGAGGAGAGAGCAAGATCTTCCGTCTGATGGTTCAGTCCCTGAATGACTGCAATGGCTGGAGCTGAGCCACTCTGAAGCCAGGAGCCAGGAGCTCTTCCAGGTCTCCCACACAGGTGCAGGGTCCCAAGGATTTGGGCATCCTCCACTGCTTTCCAGGCCACAAGCAGGAAGCTGGATGGGAAGCAGGGCCACCAGGATTAGAACCTGTGCCCATATGGGATCCCAGCGCATGCAAAGCGAGGACTTTAACTACTATGCTATCGTGCCTGGTCCAATACTGAATATTTAAATATCTTTCACTGTCTTCCTGATTAAATAACACACTGGCAGAGTTCTGCATATGGCAATCTTTGAATCACTAATTATGAGGTCAGAAAGCTTGAGTGTCAGGAAAACCTGTTGTAGCACACCCTTCCTCCCGCCAAGTGTGATGGTCCCTCTTCCTAGGTGCCTGGATAAACTCAGGTATGCTGTCATTCCTGACCATTCCTGCTTCAATGGCAGCCTCTAAATGGGCTTTCAGGAGGACATAACAGAACGAGGCCACCACACAGTGAGCAAAATGGAGCTCCCCCTCTGGATTTTAAATGTGTCTGAAGTGAGAGGCCCTTTTAGAGGCTGCTCTTCACTTGTGGAAAATTCCCTGCTTATGACAGTAGCCCATGGATTTGGGGCAGCTGACAAGGCAAGGAGGAAAGTAGTTTTATTGGATTGCGGCTCAAAGAATTAATCTCTTTTTAGAGTGCTGGCTTTGCTTTATTCACAGCTGCCATCAGGTTCTGATGTGATGGTTTATTCATTTCACCTAGCAGGGTGGGCCTCCTCTCAGTCTTTCTTGGGTGGTCACTTGGCATCCACCCAGCCAAGCAGACTATGGCAAAGAGGCCATGCTTGTGTCTTGGAAAAGTTACAGCAATGAGGAGAAGGTGTTGGCCAGAAAAACTTCCACTGCCTCAGGCAAGCCAAGCCACCCAGCAATAGCTGAAGTGGATGATTAAACACACTAGTTAAGTGTCTATTTCAGAGGAAAGTGACAGTGGCATGGAAGGCGGCCACAGCACAGCATGAAGGCAAGTCAGGTGGTCCTCCGAGGCCTTGGGGCAGGCACCCACACACTCACCATGGGGCTGCTGAAGGCTGTGTGCTTGGACAGAATGCTGACCCTCTTGGCCTCAGCCCGACTGCCAGTGCGCCGGTGGGACTTGGTGCTCTGGCTCCTGTTTATGACCCGGATGCTCTGGTGGCTTCCAATGCTTCCACGCTGAGACGTTGCGGTCCCTCTGGGCATTATTTCCTCCTCTTCTGAGTCAGCTTCCTGGTATTTGGCCAGGCGCTGGGCTGTGGAGAGAGGACACAAGTGAGGGGCCAGAGGGGGAAAGATTGGGCAGCCTCAGCCCATTCAAGGTGTTTTAGGTTTCCTCAGGCTTCTAGCAGTCCTTTTCCTCTCTCAGCTACCACCCACTCCCAAATGGCAAATTTCCCATGACCAAGGGAAGGATATCATTTTCAAAACAATCTTCACCCTCAGTTAACAGGAGGGGACTGATTATTTCCAACCCTATATCACAGATGAGAAGACTAGATATCTGAGAACTGAAGGGGCTTGCTTGCTAAAACCACACAACACAGGGAGGGGCAGGTGGAATGAAGATGGTACCCAAGGACCTAAAGGATGCTAGATTCTGGGTCCTATATGCTATGGCACAGTGGCCACCAAGGCATCATTTCCAAGTCATGGATGGACAGGGACTAGTTTAGGGACAGTCCTCTTCTGATTGAGTGTAGGTGTGCAGAGACTTGTGCATGGCTGACCCAAATAACAGGGCTCAAGGATCTGCCTATCATTCATGGGGTCAATGACTACCTGTCTCACTAGGGTCTTTTGGGCATATGAGACACTGTGCGTCGATCAGAAATGTATGGGGCATCAGGCCAGGATGACTTTGCCCCTCCAGTGCTGCCTCTCTTTCGGATGACATAAACGATGGGAAGCTTTTACTCCAGTTCCTCAGAGGATGACACAGGTGGGAACCACATTCCTCCCGAGACTTCTGCTGCTGGGTCTGAACCATCCAGTCAGCCGGGGAAGCTCTTGCAGCTGAGCAGTTTCCTTGGTCATGTTCTGGACAATTTGTTTCATCATGGGTGTGCAACAAGGCTACACATGAGGCTTACTCAAAGCAGGCATTGCATTGGGTCCTTAAGTACAGGTGCCGAGATAGGCAGAGCTACAAGAATCTCTTGCTCCAAATTGTCTGCTGAGAGGTGTCCAGAGAATGGAATGTGATAGCCGTGGTCAACAGTGTGAACCAGGTCTTTGTATGAAGCATGTCATAACACTTCTTTTTTTAGAAATGAGAAAAAGCAAAAGGAGGAGGGGGAGCCACCTGGCACCTGCCACCTGGCCCAATACTTGTGAATGCCAGGATTCCAATTCAGGCAATACCTAACCCAGGAACAAACTCCCCTTCAAAATCTCACCAGCTCTAGAGTGACATAAATCCCAGACTGGTTACAGCTAGATGGCAGGCAGACAAAAGCTGGGATAAGCAATGATGTCCGCTTCCTAGGCTTGTACATCAGGAGCTTGGTGGAGGCTCCAGAAGGGCTGACCTCCCCATCTCACTGTCCTGCAATAGTGGTCACCAGATGCTGGAGTTCAGGGCAGCATGTCCACTCCGGGCCTCTTCCTTCCCCCAATGCTGAAGGGCCAGGCCTGGAACCAGGGCTGCTGTGTTGGTCTGAAGTACTTTCCGACTAGAAGTCTCCTCAACGATGCCTTTGACTCCCTCAGAGGAAAAGAGGCACAGGAGAGGTGAGCTCTGCCTTGGGCATGCCTGGTCTGCCAGCTGCAGGTTACAGGTTCAGAGAAGGCTACACCCTTGAGCTCCTTGCATGCTCAGGCATGGGGGGTGGGCTCTGTGCTCAGAGTTGAACCTGTTAGAATTCATTTGCTGTGAGATCTTGAGAGGTCAGATTATGGAATTAATTGGCTGCGGGCACTCTGCGCTTTGGATGTCTGACCATTGCTGATCTGGGCACTTTGAAACAAGCTGCTGAGTAGCACAGTTGCTTCCTCCTCCCCCAGAATGCTCTCCTCAATCTCTGTCAAGGCCGTGGAGTTTTACAGTTTTAAATCTCTGGTTTTACAGTGAGTATTTAACAACGACTGAAAGTTTTCTGGACTCTTAGTTGGGATACTTCTCTATGAAGTTCAAGGTCACAATATTATTATTTAAAAAGCTCATTGCTTGGAGCAGGCATGGTAGCACAGTGAGTTAGGCTGCTGCCTTGAGCCCTGACATTCCATAGGACTGCTGGCTTGAGTCCTGGCTGCTCTGCTTCCAATCCAGTTCCCTGTGAATGAGCCTGGGAAATCAGCAGAAGATGGGCTTTGGTCTGGACCAGCCCTGGACACCACAGCCATTTGGGGTGTGAACTAGTGGATGGTATTTCTCTCTCCTGTCCATTCTGCCTTTCAAATGAACAAATACGTTTTTAATAACTGCATTATTTGCATTAGATTTGATTGAAACTTTATAACTGTATACATTTTGCCACATGTACAAAAATACATGATTAAATCAAGCTGATTAACATGCCATCCTTAGCTACCTTGTTATGGTGAGACATTCGACATGCGCTCTCTGTTATTTTGAAATCCCAACACATTCCTCCCGAGTCTAGTTCACCTTGCTTGCTATGCAACAGACCTCAGAACCTAGCCATCCTGTCTGCCTCAGCTGCATCTCAACTTGAAAAGACTATTGCACACTGTTCGATCTCTGATTCTCTTACGGCTCTGCCAAGTTCTCCTTCTAGGAAGAACATGCAAATGAATTGTTTTACACAAAAGGTCAGCATTCATGGATGAGGCACAGGAGGAGGGAGGAAAGGGGTATGCAATTCAAGGGGGTGGACAGGTAAGTGGCTGTAATACCATTGCTGACAAGTTATTTTGGGTGGCGAACAAAATGTCAAACTATGCCTCCTCCTTATCTGGTAACTCTCATTCTATGTAGTGGAAGGCATCGGACACCATAAACATGCTTCATTTTATAAAACTCACAGTAGCTTCTGGTATGCCAGACTCTTCCCCCATCATTTCTCTAAGGAAGGCTCATGTGCCACCCACTTCTGCCTTGTTTTAAATCTGCTGCTGCTTCTTTGATGATCTTTGCTGCTGGGAGGCTGCAGGGTGGGGTCACCGTGGCCCCCAGCGGAGACGCCAAGGCACTGGGAGCACTAGCTTGGCTTAGGCATTCTTATCAGGACGGCTCTCTCCTGGCTAGGGCCCAGGCGCTGCTGGTTTCAGTCACAACCACGGCTTAAGAAGCTGGCAGCTCCAGGAAGCCAGGAAGGAGGCAGCAAAGGATAAGGAAAGGAGCGATGGGAGGAGGGGTTCCTAAATGTTCAGAAGCAAGACCACTGATTTCTTTCCCAACCCCTCATAGATACTGCACTCCAAGAGAAAGAATGCACCACAAATTAGCCAATCCCTTCTGAGAATTTGGAGCTGTTAACAACAAGACAAATGGGTGACAAGCGAAATGACTTTCTGTCCAGTCACATGGCCGAGCTCAGTGGCTGGGGCTACATCCTGGAGGACGTTCTGCTCACTTGGTGGCTGCACTTGCCTGGCAGACAAGGAGCGCTGCAACAGACACCCGCCCCACCAGACACTGCAGCCAGCAGCCTGTTCTAAAAATAGTACCAGGCTCCAGGCTCCCTGACAGCCACATCTTATGCTCCCTTGAATACCAGCAATTCCTGAAGCTTGGGGAATGTGTGTATATAGCAACCTTCTGGTCCAGCCCATATCAGGATCCCCCAAATCCCCACACTCACCATTTGCATCGTGAGAATACTCTATGCCTGACACAGTGCACCTTCGGAAAACCATCTTATTCTCCGTCAAGGTGCCAGTTTTATCTGAAAAGATGTATTGTATTTGTCCCAAGTCTTCTGTGATGTTCAGAGCTCGACATTGCAGCTGTGAGTCTGTCTCTTCATCATACAACTCTATATCCTGGTTAATGAAGTATACTTGGCACACCTTCACAATTTCAATGGAAACGTACAAGGAAATTGGTATCAAAACCTGGAAGATAGGACGCACACAGAATGAATGGCTTGGGAACCAGGGTGCTACAGAATTAATCCAATCTATTTACATGCTATATGACTACAATCATAAGAAAATAGGGGCTATACTGTACCTTTAGGAGCTTACATAGGTTGGCTTAGAGTCACTATTGGAAAAGGTTTAGAATATTGGCAAAGGGTTTAAACTAGGACAGCCTACGGTGCAACTGCAGAGTGAAATCCACTATGGTGTCTGAAGGTATGGTAACCATGGTTTGGACAGAGGCAAGCATTCTCATATTGCTAAGTTGTGCTTGAGAGAAGCTATGAAAGGAAAGAGAGAAAAGAGAAAAAAAAACATGGCACAGTCAGAGTCCTCATAAGCAAAGTCACATCACACCAGAGTGATACTCGACCCCCAGGCTTTTCCTGGGCCCAAGAGACAGAAGCTCCATCTCCCATGGATACAACCCACAGTTCAAGCAGCAGCCACGCATGGAAGAGGCTTGGTTCAGATGCTGATTAGAAGGGAGATTTCTGCGATCTTGTGGGGGCACAAAGCAAAGGGAAGACGTCCTTGAGAAAATTAATTATGTCTTGCAGTTCATGTTTATGTATTTATTTTTTACATTTACAACACAACTAATGTTTAGGGGTTCAGAGGCTGATGGAACACTGACAGCACACAATCCTAACTGGGGTACTGAACACAATTTGCGTTAATAAAGACAGATCCATTTGGAATGTGAATTAAGCTCTTTCTCTTTGTGTAAAGCACATATGACCCAGCTGAGCTTCCCTCCTAGGCAAAAGCTGAGCAAGAATCCTCTGGTACCTTCTTATTCCCAAGACAGTTGTGGTATTCCTGTGTCCATTTCCTGTCTTCTGGAGCTCTGAAACTTCCCCACTCTTTAACCCTACCTGTGGGCATAGATTCCCAAGAACTGGGGAGTTACTGGAGAGGTATTCAGAATGAATAGCCTAAGTAATTGTAACCATCACAATAGATACTGCTGAGCAATGCAAAGTGATACCTTGGAACAGCAAATTCAGTTAATGAGAAGATGGATGGGGTCTCAGTGAAGGCATCTGGAAATTGGTCCACAACAGAGTGCTGCAACTATCCTGACTTCCTAACTTTCCTCAGGTTTCATAGTACGTGGTCCATAGGACAGGGACCAGGGGCAGCTTTTCTATGAATCTTAAAATTATTCCAAAATAAAACTTATTTTTCTAAGACAGTAACTAAGGAGCGAATTTAGCCTAGTGGTTGAGATTTCCATGACACAGATCAGAACACTCGAACCTGAATCTTGGCTCCAATCCTAATTCTAGCTTTCTGCCAGTATGGCTCCTAGGAGGCAGTGGCAATGACTCCAATACTTGGGTTTCTGCTACCATTTGAGTTTTGGGCTCCCAGCTTTGGGAGCCTGGAGAACAGAAGAGCAGAGAAGAGCTCTCTCATAAAAATAATTAATTAAAAAAATTTAACTGAACGAAAAATCAAGGAAATGGAAATGGTTATCTAAACCAAGCCTTCAAACCACAAGAATCTTAAGAACAACAAAAAACAATTCTAAACGAAACATCACCCCAGGAAGAGGCCCATAGATAAATCATGTATTAAAATACATAGCAGTATTTCAGGCAGATACACTTATGTTCCTCTAACATAAAGAATTCACAGGAAATTCACAGCAGTGAATGATAACTTTCCATCCTTTCCACAAAAAACAAACTGATTATGCTTCAATTCTTAATAACGTTACCTGTAGAACTATTATCATTGTGAAGAATGAGTAAATTGCAGCTATGACTGGGGACAAGGCACTGCCATCAGACTGAGGGACATCAAACAAGGCTTTCTTCTCCTGAAACCGCTGCATCCACAAACCATGGCCTGTTGTAACGTTCATCCAATAGAAAACAAAAAAAAAACACTGTTAGTGTCCATTAAAGCAAAGTTCTAAGACTGCTGCTTCACACACACACACACACACACACACACACACACACACACACACACACAGAGTTTATTATCCTGTCCAGACATGTAAGAAAACAAAAGCAGTGTTCTTGGCACCCATAATCAGACTGCTGGAGAAACAGGCACTTAGACCTTTCCTTACTTGAAGTGGTCCCCATTGTTGGTGCTGAGAGGCACCGATGAGCAAATGCTTAGGAACGACACGTGTGTAGGCAGCTGACAGTGTGAAATACCCAAAAAGCAAATTTCCAATGTGTGTCTCATACAACCTCAGTTTTATGTGATTCCTAGTTAGAAAATAGTGGGCCCCCAAGAAAACCATCAATATTGAGTAGCTGAAATGTTGACACCATAGTGCAGTGAGTTAAGCCTCTGCCTGTGATCCTGGCATACCACATGAACACCAGTTCAAATCCCGGTTGTTCCACTTTCAACCCACTTCCCTGCTAATGTGTCTGAGAAAGCAGTGGAAGATGGGCATAGTAGTTGGCCCCCTCCAGCACATATAAGAAATCAAGATGGAGCTCCACGATCCTGGCCAGGCCAGCCACTGTGACCATTTGGGACGTGAATTGGTTAATGAAATAGCTTTTATCTCTTTTTTGTAACTCTACTTTAAATAATCTTTTTTGTTTTCCAAAAAATTCACGTTATTGACTCTGAAGTCAATGTTGATATAGTTATCTGATAATAGTAGTCTTTTTTTAATGCCTTGCACATCTCTATCTGTTACCACAGAGGCCGTGTTACACCCACCCAGTACGTGATGGCTACAGACCAAGGACAGGTTAAGGTATTTTATGACACTCTTCTCTGCAGCTTACCAAAACAGTGACCTGCTAGTGCCTTCTTTGCATTGCAAGCAAAATTTCTCTTTTCACATAACTCTAACTAGCAGTGTTCCTTGCCACTGGTTTTAGTTCATCCCTGGTTACTGATATCTCTTCTGTTAGAATCACTACTACTCCTATGATGAAACAAACCATTCTTACAGCCAAGCAGTGGTCCATTAAACAAATAATATTGCTTTGCCAAGCCTGGTCATGTAGACCTCCCCCCATAGTCCTACTGATACAAACAACCTTTGAGTTCAAGTCAAATGAGAAACGTGTGTTTGAATTTAAGAAGGCTAGTTCTGAGTGGGTAGGGCATTACATAGGGCGCTCTTGCAGGCTATTCCCGGAACCCAGTCACCTCTTATCCATGTGGGAGACTTACCGACCGCTGAAAATAGAGACATGCAAATGAGGAGGACGACACACCAGAGCACATCGCCATTCATTTGCCTCTCAAGCTGGCTGCGCTTGTAGCGGGGCCCACTGTTGTTCAGCAGAGCCTTGGTTTCATGACCTACGAGAGTCAGGGGGAGGAAGCATAAAGGGACATGGTGAATCATTTACTATGACACCATCTAATAACACTGATGTGACAAGCACAGTTGAAACATCAGAGTAGGAGATCAATCTGACACATGTAACAACCATGGAGAAAGAAATTGGCAAAAAAAATGTCAGGATTCCTCCTTGAGGCCTTCTTGAAAGAATTTTTGCTTTTACTCCTTTGTATTTTTCTCATTTTGCAAAGTTTCTTCAATGAGTTTCTACAGTACTCATGCAACTTGTATAATTAGAGGAATAATGAAGGTGGAGAAATGACCATGGAATGCCACATGACAAGCCAACATACCATCACAGGACGCAACGTAAAGTGCCCTTCACTACCTGCATAGATGACAATGCCCACAACTGCCTCCGTGTTTCTGATGGTGCACCCACGCAGTAGCAGGTTCTCTTTATACAATGCAGCCTTCTTCCCATTGTCGTGGATGCTGTCAGGAAACAGGGGCATGTGTTAGGTTGTGGCTGCACAGGTATGCCTCAGGTTTCAAGAAACTGCATTGGAGAAGGAAGGGAGGATCTGACAGGCTAGAAGCGCATGGAAGCTGGGAGCTGGAAAAGCAAGAGAAGCAGGGAGCCCTGGGTATGGATGGCTTGTCCAATGAGTCTCTGCACTAGTGAGAGGAAGCTACTGTTCAGTGGAAACTGGCCGTCCAGAAGTTGTTTCCGAGCCTTCTGCTTGTCTGATTACTTTACACGGGGTTTATTTTCACTTGAGAGACTGACCAAGGTTGAGACAAGCCACCCTTTCATCTGAGTGTCATTACTGGGAAGAGGCCAAGGAGGGTCTTGCTATGTGTCCTTTATTCAGCACAGGAGATGGTACTCCTCATCAGCCCTCACATTGACAAAATACACAAATATCACTCCAGAAGGGAGGATGAGATTGGCTTCAGCAACATGTTTTACTTCTCTTTTTCTTTTCTGAATATAAGTTATAAAACTAATTAGAAACACTAATGCATAGGATTGGAAACAGAAAAATTCATGAAACAATTTTTATGCATCTGCTTGATTGCTATATAGATAAAAGGAAAGTCCCAAGTTTAAGCTGCAGCTTTCAGACTTGCCCTCCTGGCCCAGTAATGGCTCCAGGTTGGTCAGGGTTTGGACCATGACTTTCAGGAGAGGCCTTGAAGATCTGAAACACAGCAGGGACTTGGCCTATGCTCTTTCAGGCAGTGATTCCAAAATGTGAGGTCTTTAAAGAAGCCATCATTTTGCATTCTCATGGTTAGGCTTCCATGCACATGTACAATCCAAACACCTTTTCTTTGTTCCATGGAAGCTCAGTAGGGACCATGGTCAGGGTTTCCTCCCTGTCAAGTCCTAGTATGATGCCCACTCTCCAGGACAATAATACATTCTCTGAGTGAAGAAGAGTCACTGAGCCAGGAGGGCAAAGCCAACACACAGGCTGGAGGATTTTTGTTTGTTTATTTCTGTTTTTGCAAGTGTGCTGTTTACCAACATTCATTTTATCTGCAGAGCAAATGCTAAGGGACATGCCAATGGCTCACTTTGGTGTTCATAACACAGAGTCACAACTGAAACCTCACAGCCAACTAAAGCTTTGAGAGATGAAAACTAGTTAAATATCATTAACTATGAAACCTTTCTCCATACCACCTGAGTGAGAGAACCAGAGAACATCTTAAGCTTATGGGCAATTGTGTGAGAACATTTGGCCACAGAAGCCATTTCCCTGAGACAGCAATAAAGAACCGGCGGGCCATCACAAAGTTCTCTCATATACTTTCTAAGAACAAGTTGACAGAATTAAGAGCAATATTTTCTTGCCTTCCTTGATTCCACTACTTTTTAAAGCAAGTATAACTGATCTTCTCGATCTGAGGGTTCAGCATCTGCACTTTCAACCAACTGCAGTTGAACACATTTGGCAAAAAACTGCAACAGTATTGAACACAGACACTTTTCTGTTTATTATTCTCTGAAAAAACATGTGATGATTTATATAGCACTTTTTTTTGTATAAGGGACTATATATCATACAGAGATGAAGTATGTGAGAGGGTGTGCATATGTTATATGAAAAATACTATGATATATAAAGAATTGAATTTGAAGAGTTTGGTATCCTTGGGAGATCCTGAATCAGTCTCCTGGGGATTAAAGGGGATAAATGTGCTAAGCTAACTGGATTCAACCAGATAGAAAGGCACTCCTAGCAAGGGACACTGGCCTGGACCATGCTTTAGGACAGACAGCAGATGCCACCAGACAGCAGCACACTCTGGCATGAAGAATCCTCAGAAGAGACTGGAAGGCTGGAGAATGGCATCACCCAGCACAGTGCAGAGCCAGCAGCTCAAAAACTACCCTGGATTTCTGAGAGAGTCCTGGCCAAGGGTGGAACAGGCTCAGTGCCAAACAAGCATGGAGTTGACTCCATGGAGGCATAAACCCATCAAATTGCACTCAAAGCTACTCCTTTGCTTTGAGCCCAATTGCATTCTCCAGAACAGGTTTGTTGAGATCCTACCTGCCAGGACCTCAGCATATGAATGTGTTGAGTCTTTGAAGGTGTAATGAAGTTAAAATGAGGTCATAGAGTGGTTCCTAACCTAAAAAGACAGGTTTCCTGGTAAGAAGAGAGAAGACACAGACTCATAAAAAGGGAGGGTCATTCACTACAAGTCAAAGAGAGAGGTATCAGTGGAGACCAACTGTGAAGGCATCTTGTTTTTGGATTCCCAGGCACCTAGACCATTGGGAAATAAGTTGTTAAAGTAGCCCAGCCTGCAGAATCCCAGGAGATTGGGCACATTCTGAAACATTACACCTAAGCCAACCAGAAAAAATCACTGAGCTCAAGTCCCCAGGCCTTTAGGCTCATCAAGCCAGTCTCTTCTAAACTTAAATTGTCCAAAAGCAAAACCTGATGATAGAATACTGATGACAGCATCTACCATTCACAAAAATACGGCACAAGAAGGTTTCTTGGGAAATGGCAAACTTCAGCTCATGGATGTCCTGCCTACCTTGCTTTCTCTGATGTTACACCTGCTGGGCTTCACTTAAACTTGGCGATGAATGGGTTTCCCTCATCAGAAAGCCTGCATGTGAAGGCAGGTGAACACTAGTAATCACCAGAGCATTGGCAAGAGCCTGCAACAGGTGTACAAATCCACCTGCTGAAACACAGGAGTGCAAGGTTGTGAGCTTGGGATGTTCAACCCCAAAGCCACAGAATACAGTGCAAAAGAGCAGGCAGTTGAAGAGTTATCTTCAAGACAACTCCCTCCCTTGGCCACAGAACACCCGCAGACCTAAGGCCTCCTCTCTGCTTCACCCAGGCCATTGGCTCCGGTCAGTCTGGTCACCTGGACCACAACTTGGGTTTTCTTGACTGACTCCTTCTCCATCATTTCGACATTCACTCCTGCATGAGTCCTCAGAGTTACCCCACTGGATATCTGATTAACCCACAGCTTTCTTAGCACTATTTCTGTGCAATATTGCCCTAACATGAGCATCTCTATTCCTCTGTCAGAGGATGAAACACCCTTTCAGGCCTCCATCTCCCCAGCCTTGTTTCTCACAGGGTCCCCAGAGCAGTTTTGTATAAACTGTGAGTGTGTTGCTCTCCTGAGAGCATTCTCTGTGAGCTGCTTACTTCCTCTCACTAGCATACAGGGCCCAGTAAGCCCTGCAGCCCCATTCTCAGCCCTTCCTGTGCAGGTTTTTTTGTGCCAGTCACCATCCAGCACATTCCGTCTGCCAGATACTGGCCTCTGTATGCAACTTACAGCCTTCCAAGTTCCATAGCCTTTAAGGAGATTCTCTGTACTAAGCAGCCAATATCCTCCAGGCAGTTCTCCTATCTTATTGCTTTTTGCACTCCAGTTCCTGTCTCTGCTCTGAGCCTGGAAAGTACTGACAGCAGCCAGGGACCTTGGCTTTGGGTTGGGTCCTTCCAATGGAGAGACTGGGAAGAATGCTGGCGGAGCAAGAGAGCACAGGGAACTAATCATACGTTCCTTCCTAGAAAGTGAACACAGGCTGAATATGCCCTTTGTTAAGAGCTCTGTGTCCTCAGCACAGGCGCACCAGCCCCAGGCCTTGTGGAAGACGGCTCTGTGGAGTGGGCACCATTGTGCCCATTGTCAACCAAGACCTGAGCTTCTCAGAGAGAAGCCAACAAACAAGGGCTCCTAATGAGGTGTCCGCAGTTCTTGTTGCACAAGACAGAATCACAGGAGGAGCCAAGGGGACCTTTTGTCTGTGTGAAGTGCTTTCTGCTCCACTCTCATCTTCATTCTCCTCTCTCAACCATTTTTTTTCTGATGGTCACCAGTGTCTGGGCCAGGGATAGTCATATAGGATTTGTCGAGCACAAGGCTATGGAAAAAAATTTACCTTTCACTGTGAACAGTTTGCATTCATTGGCTCACTCCCCTGCCCCCAGCAATACTGCATGCCTACTGTGTGCAGGGCACAGGGATCAATGCTCAAGACACCAGTTAACCAGAAGATTCAAGCCCATACTGGGAGCTCTTAGAAACACAGGATATTTTCAGAACCTCCACTCCTTTCCACCTCTTTCCTATGGATCCATCTGCACTGGGCCTCAACAGTGAGCTGGCACTATGGAGCAGCAAAGCAGCAGGGAAGAGGCCTTACATTTTCTGGTTGAGAGAGCTAAGCCCGTGGGAGCTGCTGATGCACAGAGAGCAGGGCTGCACACAGGAGACAGTTCAGTGTCTTTCAGGTCCTGGTCACTCGCTTTGCCCTTCATGAGACGGTATCTGACAGTGCCAACCTGCAATTCACCAACTGTATCCTACCCCTCCTGCTCTCTCCATACCAACTAACTACACTCACATTACCATTATTTTTGTCATTGTTTTCGATACAGAAATTCCCAAATAGAAACAAAAGCAGGGAAGATAGCACATTTACTTCATGTACCCTTGACCAAGTTTCAATAAACATCAAATGGCTTATCCTGTACCACTGATTCACCTTTTCATTTTTCTGGTCTGCAACATGGATTAGAAACATCATAGATAGATACATTCCTTTTTTTTTTAACTGCTCATCTTTACTCTTAGCTAGAAATAAAGTAAGGAATTTCATCTGTTTAAGTTTACCATGCTATATCCAAAGCTTCAACTGGTCTCAGGACAGGTGCCTAGCCCATACAAGGGTCCTTCACAATGTTTATAAAAAGATGAAACAGGCAAGATTTTTTTTTTCTGGTGCAATTTTGAAATCCATGCATTATTTGTTCATCATATGTATTTTCCATGAACTATCTGAAGATCCCTCCTGAACCTGCTCAAAGATTGAGTGAATGAGACATGAACAAAGTTCCACCCAGAATCCTCCTGCCTGGCTACTGCTTCCACATAGTGGCGCCAAGCATCATCAGCCACACTTTTCTTTAACTCCTCTCACCTTCCTAGGGCCCACACTGGAGGATGGAGAAGCCAATACTGAAAGTCTTGGTACATTTCTAGCTCTGAAAGAATCTTGAAGAGTAGTTCCATAAGCAGGCAAGAAGGCTTAGGTGATGAGAAATATTTGCAAAAGACCACAGCAGGTAGCAAAGAAAATTACGTGCACATTTGTGACACTGTCTGTGTGTGTGCGTGTGTGTGCGTGTGTGTGCGTGCGTGCGTGTGTATGTGTGTGTGTGTGTGTGTGTGTGTGTACTTGATCAAGAAGAAAGACAAGCATGGGAAGATATGTGATACTCACATGCAACCATGAAACCTAGACAGGTTATTGTTTGGCTTCTCACACTCGATTACGCTGGTGAACGTCAGAGGATTGAATTCAGAGACCTAAAATAACAGCACAGACACATTAGAAAGAAATCTGGGAGCAAGCTGTTCCATGCTAAAAGGCACTTGTTTTTCTGTCTCAAATCCATGACAGGGAAATTTAAGGGGAGAATTCTGCCCACAAGCTCTTGCAGAACGCCAGTTTGCACATGGCACTGCATCCCTGGCTTTCTCCTTTTCATAATGAAGAATAACTAATCATTTCCTGGTGAATAACAATTAATGGTCTAGTACTGGGGAGTGAATGAGCAGGAATGGCTGGGCTGGGGTTCAGTGCAAAATACGAGCATAGCAGATAATGGCACAGAAAGCCACCATGGAGAGAAAGGGATGAATGAATTTCTGAGACAGATCAGCACCTTCTGATTTTCAACATGGACACAGAGCAGTCAAGTCCTTCCAAAAAAAAAAAAGGAAGAAACTTACCCAATGAATGCAGAAAATGCTTAATGTGTCTTTGAAGAGAAAGCTTTAAATAGCCAACGCGTAAGGCAACAATTTATTATTCTCCTCATTTGGAAAAAAGTTAACATGAGTGGGTGTTTAGCGTAGAGGTTAAGACACTTGTGTCCCATCTCAGGAAAGCCTGGGCTTGACTCCTGGCCCTGGCTTTTGACCCCACTGTCCCTGCTCATGTTGACCGTGGGAGGCAGCAGGGATGACTCTGCCAAGCGGGTGAGGAACCTGGCTTGAAATCTTGGCTTCTGGCTTTGGCCTTTGCCTAACCCTGGCTGTAACAGGCATTCGGGGGAGAGAACCAGAAGATGGGGGTTTTCTCTTTCTGCAACTCTTAAGTAATCTAACTAACTAAAAGACTGCTCACAACAAAGGAAGTCTTAAATATTGAATTTTGCCATTGGTAGATAGCAGTGTGCCTGGCTCAGACAAGAAATCCTAAGCAGGGAAAGGGAAAGATGAGAGTAGAACAGCAGGGAAAGGTTGGGAATAAATATTAAATTTGAGCAACTAAGTACAATAAATGGATTTCCTTTTTTTTCTTTAACAGCTCTGGTCATGGTTGCCATTGTGTTTCCTTTTATCAAGTGTCAAACATAATGAAAAATTTAATGGGATTTGCTCACCTAAGTACATTATCAGGAAAAAATATTCAGGTCGTTAAAAATGATAGAATGGTATAAACAGTGCTGACATCACTCCAGGAAATCACTACTCAGCCACAACAATGCACTTACTTGCGCAGAGTCCAACCATCGAAGACTCAGTTCTCACTGCTTACCAATGTTTTATGAACCTTAAAAGGAGGACTCATTGGCTAATAAATAGTAGCTAAGTTCAATACCAATTCAAATGCTATTTTATTTAAGTTTTTTTTTTAAGATTACCTATTTATTTGAAAGACAAAATTCTAACAGGGAAAGAGTGACACAGAGTGAAATCGTCCACCTGCTGGCTCATCCCTAGCAAACAGCCACAGCAGCTGGGCTGGACCAGCTGGAAGTAAGGAGCCAGGAGCCAGCAGCTTTAGCTGATCTCCCACAAGGGTGCCAGGGCCAACTTCTGATGCGTTCCTAACACATTAGCAAGGAAGTGGATCAAAAGTGCAACCTCTGGAACTCTAACCAGCAGCCATATGGGATGTCAGCATGAACAGACAGAGGTTTAACTCACTGCACCACAATGACAACCCCAAATGTTATTTTAAAAGCTTCTTGAGGTTTCCTTAACTATCATCCCCTTTCTGCTTGACCCAACACAGCCTCTCAGAGTGAGGCCGTGTTTCCAAGAGGCCAGTGTTTATCTCAAGCTGTATGGATTAACTGGGAGGCCTCTGGCCCACTTTGTCAGGGCAAACGTTTGCGGATACAGCACACAAGATGGCCATGAAGGGAGTGAGTTGCAGAGAACACCAAGGTTGTTCTTGGCAGGCAAAGAGGCAGAACTTAAAATATTCTCTGTTTATTATTCTTTCTCTAAGAAAAATGGAACATACATGGAGGCTCAGAAGCAGGAGGACATTCCGTCTTGGGAGTAGCAGAGCTGTAGCTAACTTGGTTCCACTAATAACCATGTGCCTTGCAAAATGCGCATGCTTGGCGCATCAGACGTGTCTGGCTCCGCCTGGCTCCGTCTGCCTCATCTGGAATTTGTGGAGTTTGTGGAGTTTTCCTACAAGAATGACCTTCGGAGATGGTTATGGATTGAACTGGACCCTTCTCTCTTTAGCATTTTTAAGAACTCCTCCTGCCCAGAACCTTAGAAGTCACGTTGTTAGGCGACAGGACCTTCCAAGAAGTAATTGGGTTAAAAGGAGGGCATGAGGATTGGCCCCCTTCCAATGCCACTGGGGTTTGTACAGAAACAGGCGATTAAGGCACACAGAAGTCCACGTGAGCGCACAAAGGAAGGGCAACTGTCTACAATCCACAGAGAAAATTTCCTTGCCAACACCTGCATCTCGGAGTTTAGCGTGCAGTGCTGTGACAACAAACTTTGGTTTAAGCTGTCTAGTCTGTGATTCTTTGGCAGCCCCAGAAAATGAACACAGAGCCCATCTTTGACTTTTTCTTTATTAAAAAAAAAATAGCAGTGTTTCACAAAAAGAAGTACACCTTTTGGATGAAGAAATTTCTATTTGTGTTGACTATTTCTAACAGCAGCCAATACAGTAACACTTGCTATTTAAGAAATCTATATTCATCCTTGTTCCAACAGCCATCCATCCATCTGCCTTAGCCCAAACCAGAGGCCAGGTCATGTCATAGCTATCTGTAGACAGACTGGGGCGACACTGCCCTCTGGAGTCTGGACACAGTTAGGGGGCCTCCACACAGCCCTTTCTGCTGGGCACTTCAACATCATGGATTTCAGAAACGGATACCCAAGGGAGTGCTCTCCTAGAGAAGTGCAAGTTGTGCCATAGCATGTTAAATTCCTGTTTGAGATGCTCACATCCACTATTAGAGTATCAATTTGGGTCCCAGTTACTCCACTTGCCATTCAGCTTCTTGGCTCGAGTGCTTGGACTCTGTCACTGACATAAGGAGACTCAGATAATGTGCCAGACTCCTGGCTCCAGCCTGGTCCAGCCTAAACTGTTGTAGGCACTGAGTAAACCAGAAAATGATCTCTATCTATCTTGCTCTATTATTTATGTTAATAAAAGTAAACAAGTAAGTTTGTTATTTTAAAGGCTTTTACAAAGTTCATAGAACAATGCAATTAAAATGTATTTTGCTGCAAAAGTATTTGGAAATCCCTTGCATAGATATTTGTCTGTGAACTTCTGAAGAACTCTCTTACAGGTGGAGAAAACGAAAAGGCTCTAGAGATGGATGGTGTTGAAATTTACACAAAAGGGTTAATGGACTCAGTGTCACAGAACCATACACTAAAAATGACAAAGTGGTAGATTTTGTGTACATTTCACAGAAGTGAGAAAAAAATTCAAAATAGAATCATTGAGAAGTAATTATAAAGAAACGATCTCTAAGCAGAACATAGCCCTTTTTCTGTAAGTGTGAGAAGCCTCATTCTTGTCAGCAGCAGCCTGGCTCAAGTTCTGGGGAGTGTGCTCCAGTGCCAGGAGTGTGCTCTGTGTGGGTGGCACTGTCGTCTCATGACCCTACTAGGAGGCTGGTTACCAAACGACCTCTGATCTAGCACCACTAAACAGCATGTCAGATGTCACAGCGGCCATCAGTTGAGCTAGCAGAACTGACCCAGAGCTGACAGAAAGTCAAGCGCCCTGGTGTGTAGTCCTATTTCCTCTGAATGTGGGACATTTGGCACATGATGGGAGAACATTTGGATGCGGATCTTCTGAAACTGCTGTGGCTGTATACTCCACAACTCTGCAAGAAGCAGAGGTGGTGCCTGTGATGGCAGGTTCGCACTGCAGAGTTTGCACCACCTCCCAGAGTGTTGCCTGCCCACTGCACCCTGGGCAGGCCTCCAGCTCAGGTTGCTGCCACCTGCAGCTTAACCACACATGCCATGTGTCACAGCTGATGACAGAGCACGCATGGGCAAGTGGCTACCCCATCAGCAGGACCGTGCTTAGTTCCTGTTGTTTCCCTTGCAGTCGCTCTGAAGCCTCTTTGAATGAAGTGATCTGACCTACATTAGGGCAGGGACACAGCAGACAGCCCTCAGCTCTACCCTTGAACTTACTATTGTGCTAGAAGCTGTAGCCACCGCAGGGGAGCAAGCGGCACTCCCTTCCCTCAGGGATGCTCAGCTCTTCCTCCTTATCCTCAGCGCCTCCTTCAGACAGAACAAGTAACTGCAGGTGCTGCAGCTGCCTGGCCAGCCAGATGGTCAATAGTGCTCAGGACAAAGACTTGAGCTGCAAGAAAGTTTCAGGTATCAAGCTTGCAAAGCTGACCTTCCACCCCCCATGGGTTCCATAACTGTAGATCCAACCTACTGCAGGTAGCGAATATTAAAAAAAAAAAAAAGTAAGTGCGTAGACACGAAAGGAATTCTGTAGTCTACATTTGCTTTAAATGAACTACCAATCATTATTCAGCAAAAGCAAAAGTCATTTTCCTCCATATTAGGATGGAAACAGTGAGCAGATACTGTCATTTTTGTTGTTGCTGTTATTGCATCAAAAGAGAGAAATAAGCTGTTTTATGCCTCTTCAGCAGCTGGGGTCAGCAGGAGGCACAAGCGTACACCTGCAGAATCTTCAGGTATGCTGCCAGGATCCTGGAGCCTGACTCGCCAGCTGAAAGTTTCAGAGTAGGCCATCTGTCACAGTCTCTGGACGACACAGGCATAGTAGAGTCTTCAGAAGGGATGCATAGGCCCAAGCGCCCTGTAGCCAGGCAGGACCACCACGTATACTCATGAGGAGACACAGAAAATCCACACCCTCCTTTGTTCCCTGCTCTAAAAATGCCCTTTGCAACACGAGGTTCTTGTTCCAAGTCCAGCCCCAATGTCACCTCCCAACACCAGCCTCGGGAAGTTTGGCTGGTAGAGCACAAGGTCTCTCTAACTGCCAGCCTGCCTTTGTTCTCGTCATTTGTATCCTG